ATTGTTATTTTAGAAATGTTAGGTACTGATTGCTTTAAGGCCTATGGGATAGTCATACGTAGTAAACATTGCGTGACACGCGACTCGAGTACTTGACGTACAAAATGAAGCAAAATTTGAATTTTCCTTTTTATCCTTTTTCCCATCTACTTATGCTCAACCAGTTCTTTGATAAAAAAAAGGACAGTAGTTTAAAAAATACTTACGTGACCTCACAAGAACAAGGGTAACAAAAATCTCGTGGATTTCTTGAATGCTCCCTTTGCCAGTTAATTGGTTTTTACAGTGAAGGGCAATATTTTTTCCTTCATGGCCACCAGTATAATTATACCGAGACTGTGCCTACAGGCAAGGCAAACCACCATCTTTTCTCCTTATTCATGCGAACGATTAAACTTTCCCGCTCTTGCCAAAATTAGATCATATTCGGTGACCTTCGTACGTGAAAGGTTACAGCTTCTTAGATGGTTCTTTACTTGGACAACGCACTTATTTAGTAGAAAAAAATTGTCTTTACCGCGTGAGGACCGCAAGTAATATTTGCTATCCCGGCAAAGGAACACTTCGCAGGTGCAAGTGCCATTTTGGTTGTTTGCCAGTAGCGTAAACTGCGATTTAGGTGGTCAGTGGGCTATGGACCGCTTTGAAGAATGACTGAAAGTTCCTCAGTAATTCAAAACGGTCTAAATCTGTTTTTAAAAAATTTTTGGAGATAGAGCGGGGCGAAAGGGGAGTCAGTGCTTGTCGAAAACAGAATATACCGTAGTCATTTCTAAGTTTGTAATCTAAGCGGGGCAGAGCGTCAGCTGTTCTGGAAAAGTCATTCTCAGGCTATTCAAAGACATTCACAAGTCGATTTCTTGGAGTGCAAAGAAGAGGCAACTTACCGGTAATATTATAATTAGGCAAAGATGGTTCGTTTCTCACTGAGCCCGAAAATCACACTTAGAAAGGAAAAGACGAGGAAAAATAGCGAGAGCAAGGAAAGTGATATAAGCTTAAAATGAGGTATTGACACTTCACCTTTGCACTGTTCAGCTGTTCTTGAATTATAGTTTATCAGTTTCAGATATATTTAAATTGAGACATCTTTCAACAGCAGCGACAGTTTGGATAGGGAATCCCCCTAGTGCCTAGAGCAGGCTAAGAAGACTTCTGAGACTTCCTGCGTAATATTCTATAATTTTAAAAAGAGAGATACAAAAAAATATTGTAAATGCGAAATGATTTTCCACAAATAATAAAAGGAAAAGAGTTGCGAATTCCGCATGCCGGATTCCGCATTCCGGATTCCAGATTCCATCCCTTTCACAAACTGTACGAAAACATGGCGGACAGTAAATAAGCTCACGTTCACCGCCTTCTCTCCCTTCTTCGTGTGGTTAAAACCGTAGCCACGTGGAAAACAGTGATTGAAAGTATTCAGTCTTTAGGAATGGACAAGTTTCGAGTGGCATTTACCCGATTTCTCGCTTTCTATTCTGACAATCCTTCTGGACTTCACGAGGGCGAAACACCGGAGAAATGGCAAAGTAAGGCAAGTTTCGCCACTCACCCCTCGACCGAACCCGAATGGCCGCCAAAACGTTTAACACGATTCAGTAGCTGAAGGATTGAACTACACAATGATATGTAGGAGAGTCTGTAAGTGTGAGCCACTTTTGAGATTTAATCCACTGATTTTGGCTAAAATCGTATGCTTCGCTAAGTGGGTCAAAGGGGCTAAGTGTGTTTCCTCAGATTTTCTAAACGAAAAGGTGTTGCTGATTCTGACCTGTACTAATTTAAAGATAAAGGCTCAGTTAAAATAACTAGTAAATTGGAAGGTTTGGGTCGCACTCTTTAATCCGGAGCAATCGGTTGAATTTTGACAAAATTTGCATATTTCACAAGCATCTCAGGTCCTCATGTGGCGCCGAAAGAAAATTCGTCTAAAAAAATGTACAGAAGCGAATTTCTCCAATCTAGTTTCATATTTGTTATATACGTATTAAAAGAAGTCTACAGAAAAATTATGAGCGAAATCCATTTTGTGGGCAAAACTCGATATGAGGATCTTACAGAGACTGGCTCTTAATTAGCTAAGTAGGATAATGTTGTTTAGGGCTCTCATACTGAGCTTGGGCTACCTGTGCTTAGACATTTTGAAACCTTAAACTTTTCGAGTTTCAAACAGCGAAAGGGAAATAACATTTATAAATTAACGCGAATAGTTATGTGGCTGAGAACGGATGTCCGAACTTTTATAGGGGTTTGTTTACAACAAAGGTCATCAACAGGCACGTGAAACTACATGTGAAATCTGACGCTCAGAAGGTGAATTTTTAAGCCTGCGGGTCGAATTCCGTTGCGTTTATAGCATTCAAATGAAGCCTCCGCAGTACCTTCGCTTCACCGAAGTGGTAGAATTTTTTTTTTTCGATATAACGTCAATTGCTTTATGATTTCCATATAGTTGATTATTGGCACCCTTTTGATGAAGGGTTAATATCGCTAGCAAAACATCTAATGCTTTCCTGTCATTATCATTCGACGTCAGTGGAAACTGAAAAATTTCCGAGTCACCGTAGCATTATTTGAACGCGGAAAAAGGTTTGGTGATCCGCGTACTAAATGAATCGAAACATTTAAGCTGTCAACAAGTTCAAGTTGTCGAAGTGGATTGTTTAAGAGTTCCTTACTTGTGCGAAAATGGCCGCAACTGTGCTGCGAACGTTAAGGTAAAGTCGCTTTGCTTTCTTATACTTGGGTCTGTTTAGTAAGCCGAGATTCGGGCACAGAGTCGGGAAAAGTTAAGTTTAACTCTTGTGTTCTCACCCAATCTCGTTTAGTTAAGTCAAATGATCAATGATTTATAATTCGCTTGTTAACTCTCCAGCAATTTCATCGAGGATAATCGTGACGTCCTTAACTATTTTAAAAATAGCTTCTGTCTGTTTTCTAATTAGCTAAAATGTTCGTAATTTAAACAGAAAGAGGGTGTATGTAATTGTTATAACCAGTGTTATCTTACGGGGTTTAATTTTTAATCAGTTGTTTATCTGCTTCGCTAAATTGTCATTTTACTGTATTTATCGATGTCGTCTCCCGGCCTAGTATGAGTTTTGAGTCTGGGATTTAATAAGTAGGTCAACCAGTAGCGAAATGTTCGAATTATGTACCTTCTAAAGTATATACAATACTGAAAGAATACATACGAAATGTTTATAGCCTCAAGGGGAATTGAAAAAGCCTATATACTTTATAGAAAGCGTTTTACCCGTATTTTGAATCCCGGGGGATCACTTTGTTTATTGGGCCTTATCGTACAGGGTTTCATGGAGTCATACATAACTACCTGTCATTTTACTGTGTTTATCGATGTCTTCTCCCGGCCTAGTAAGAGTTTTGAGTCTGGGATTTAATAAATACGTCAACCAGTAGCGAAAATGTTCGAGTTACTTACCCTCTAAAGTATATACAAAACTGAAAGAATTCATACGAAATGATTATAGCCTCAAGGGCAATTGAAAAAGCCAATATACTATATGGAAAGCGTTTTACCCGTATATTGAATCCCGGGGGATTACTTTGTTTATTTGGCCTAGCCTGGGTATGTGACCGTAAACAGATTATGTTTTCCGGGATCGTGAGTCTTGAACCGCGTGTATTTAGCATCTAGAACAGGGTATGTTTTTGGACCGGAAGCGTTTAAAAGAACGCGGATCATGTTGGAGGGTGAGTGGTTCATTTGTCTTACCACAGGTGGCCCAAACTCACGTTACGAGGGAAGGGTGTAATGTAATTTACATACCATAGGTGACGCGCCGGTGACTTTGTATGAGAACTATATTACTGAGATCTGCGAACGCTAAATATACTTCCTCTCAGTAGCTTTCGTTAAAATGGTTAAAATGGCATAGCGCGATTTTCGTGTGACCTTGAAATGAAAAAGTGCGAACAAAACGGAAAACAACGAACGAACGGAAATAGAGCAATTTCATTGCTTTATCGAACGGACACAAACGTGCGTGGCTTTTGGTTGATTAAGCACACGCTCGGGTGAAAAAACTTCATGCCTGAGAACTTTCTAGAAATCATCCGATACCTTGCCCTCCCCTTATTAGGGTTGTCTTTGGCGGGAAAACTGAGAGAAAGAGATATTTTCACCCACTGGCTGACAAAGCAAATAACGAACACTTAGCGAAACCATTTTTCAAGGCCATACGATAGTCGCTCTAACTCTTCTATGTTTATTATTATATCAGTGTTTATGATTATATTTTGAACGAGCTTATTAGCTCATTAGACGATAGACACGATACGTGGGTAAATATACTATTGTATTGTATTGTATTGTATCTTAGTAAAATCCAACTAGTGGTCTATTATCAATGCTGCGTGAACGTTCTGATTGGTTGAGCTACTACTAGGCTATATGTTATAGCCTACTAGTAGCGAAAAGCGCTGGCTTTGAAAACCAAAACAATGGCGGTTGAATCGCGTTTTGCTAGCTAAAGTTGTTTTGTCTCGATATTTTTGACCAACTAGTTGGATTTTACTAAAACAATTATTCCTCTCGCCCTCATGGCCTCTGAGTCAATAGCCCATTCGGTCTTCGGCCTCATGGGCTATTGACTCAGAGCCCATTCGGGCTCGAGGAATATTTGTTAAGTATTGTATCAAAGTCAACAAAGCTGTGTTAAAGTGGTTAATTCAGATATCAAGCCGATCTTATAGCATTCGTTTTATGTATATCCTTACAGAATGACAAGAGGATCAGCATTTGTGCTAAGGCTTTGTCGCAGAAACATCCTATGGCTGGTTGGGGCTTTGATGCTCGTTATCTTGTTTCATTTGTATTTTATAAAAGGCGTAAAAACGATCACCACGAAGGAAAATGACCACTTCCCGCCACTTCCCAAGGAATTTTTATCTCCTTCTCATACAAAAGTGAGTATGAATCGCCTGTACCATAATTAACTTGAAAGAGCAGTCAATAGCCCTAGTAAACGTCTTGAATGGAAGCTGCGGCTCTTACTGAGGGCGATGTTTATTCGGTGCGAAGCGCAGTTTTCGAGTAAATAAGGTAAACGTTTTACCCCCAAGAGAAATGTTTTTATATATATATAAAAGGTTAGATACAGAGATAAATAACGTATTAGTAATTACTTTAGCCAATCACAGCTGACGCAGATAACTTAAAGAACCAATCAGAACTAGGATCAAATACGTGTAATTGGCACCAACAAGCGCGGTAGCAGGTGCTCAAGCATTGCCTTGTCCCCAGTCGCTCGCGATCACTGTTCCTTGCCATCACTCCCTGCTCGTACTCTGCGCTCGTTCCCATCATCCCCCTCCCCGCGCTTCTCGCTTGTCTGCAAAGCCTTTGGAAAGCCCTTGGCGGAGGCAGGCTCAAGAAACGGACTCCTGGTTGGTTTAAAAAATATTGCGAACTTTTCTAGTCCTCTTTAAAAAATGCTGAAGGTTGACATTACGGACTCTGGCCACTCTGGTCGCTATCGCTATTTCGGATAATCGTGGTCCCGAGCATGGACTCACGTTGTTCGTGTTTGCGATTACAGGAAACAAAAAAAAGGGTTCTCGAAGGATGGGAACGGATATATAGCCTGCCTCGACTGCGTGGTGGGTGTAAAGATCGTATCCTGAATTTCAGCTGTCTCCTCGGATAGCAAGCCCTTGAGAGAGACGTCGTCTCTCTCGGGAATTTGCGTTAACGGGGTCTAATTTCGTCCCCATTCTTCTCGCGGCTTTACAGCGAACTGGCGAATCAGTAGCTCGTGATGAATCCTGCCAAAAATAAAATAAAAATTTTTTTAAAAAAATCCTGCCAGTAATACGCAGGCTAAGCGATGGCCTTTTTAAAAACAGTTAACATTTAAATACATAAACTACAAGAACTCATCACAGTCAATTGCTTATTTCATGATTATGAATAAAGACTTTTTTTTAATCCTTTTTGTCTAGTTCCCGTCCAAAGAGTATTGTTCTCGTCGAATCGAGGAGGACCTCTCTCTAATCAGCAACGGCACACGCCCAGCTCCCAAATCAGTCCAAGAAATCTCTGACTACAACATTCTCAAAACATTCTCCCAGCTCAACTGTGGACAAATTTCAGCACTTTTTTCTCCACCGTCTGAACCAAGTGACGAGGAGCGGAATTTTCCTTTGGCATATACCCTACAACTTTACAAAGGCGCAAGTTTGTTTGTAAAACAGCTACAGTTTATTTATATGCCACAAAACGTTTATTGTATCAATATCGACACTACCTCTTCTCTAGTATTTGTCCGCGCCATACAACAAATCGCAAGATGTTTGCCAAATGTTTTTGTTACAAAGAAGAGGATAAAAGTTATATATCTTCATGTTTCTACAGTTCGAGCTCAGTTAAACTGTATAGAGGACTTGCTCCAAAGCTCTGTCCGTTGGCGTTATTTGTTTAATTTATGTGGCCAAGATTTTCCCTTATATTCCAATCAAGGTCTCGTGCAGGCGCTAAAAGCTTTGAATGGGCGAACGAATGCAGAAAGTTGCAAGCCAAATAACTACACAAATTTGCGTACACTCAACGTGTTTGAAGTAAAATTAGTTCGAGGTAAAGAGGGCCATGATGCCTATGAATGGGCAAATACAGGGAAGGTGAAAACCCCGCCCCCGCAAGGAATTCAAATCTACAAGGGGTCGTCTTTTATTGCGGGAACCAGAAAGTTCTGCGAGTACGCTGTTTACGATGAAACCGCCAAAGCTTTCCTAAACTGGTTAAATGACACCATTTTTGTCGATGAATCGTTTTTTACTACTCTGTTCCGTCACCCGGGCGTGCCGGGGGGAGTGCCCTGGCCGGAGCAACAGGAGTTCATCACAAGGGGTGCGGTCAATTGGTACTACCCAGAGAACAGAACTCCCTGCCATGGTTATTGGCTCCGTGGGTTATGTGTGTTGAGTTTGGCAGATTTGAGCTGGGTGTTTGGCTCTGAGCTTAAAAACATGTTATTTACGCAGAAGATTGATTTTAATTATGACCAAGAACTTGTCGATTGTTGGTATGTGATGGCACAGAACAGAAAAACACATCCATACACTGCCAAAGGAATATCTTGGAGAAAACACAAATGTAGTTAAGACTACGATTGAATGTATTCAAATCTATATACTACTACATTAGAAATTTGTGCAATTTGATTCGCTTAGAGCAGTGGTATTTCAGCTTAATTTGAAATACCTACTTGTGAAAATTACGAAACGTTTGCAGGTAGTAGTATAAACAAATAATAGCGTGATTTGTACGTGATATTTGGCATGAATACCACTCGTGACATTTCAAAATTGTCTCATATTTCACTCGCCTAACGGCTCGTGAAAATACATATAACGTTTTCGAAATATCATTCGTGGTATTTATGCTAAATATCCCTACAAATCATGCTACTACCTATACTAATGTTAATCAGCAGTTCTTGTTATACTTACGGAGGCGTGTGTGGCCGAGCGGTTAACAACTCGAACTCTGGATCTGGAGGTAGAGGGTTAAAGCCTCGCCCGTCGCGTTGTTTGCTTAGACAACGAATTTTATACTCCACTTTGTCTCTCTTCATCCAGGTGTATAAATTGGTACCGCCGACATACTGCTAAGGGAAGGGGGGTAATCCTGCGATGGACTAGCATCCCGTCCAGAGGGGGAGTAGCAATAATCCTAGGCATGCTTCATGCTAAGAAAACCGGGATAATGGACCTTTTTATCTATAAGGGGGCCACATTGAAATAATTGGATTTAAGGAGTTTTATGGGATGCCCAGGGGGCATGAGCACGATCTCATATACTTGCATCAGTATTTACGCGCGCTTTTCGGGACAATTTTTCTTTAAGTTTTCCTAGAAAAAGATTGTAATGAGAAAAAAAGATCGTTGTGCCGTCTTTGGATGTAATAACGATCGCCTTTTCCGGAGAAATATACATTGAAGTTCTCTTTTTGCCCGAAAAGCGCGCGTCAATACTCAGCGAGTGCCCCTGGGCATCCCATAATGTAAATATGGCCGCCGTATCGGTAAAAGGTCTATTATAAGCTCCGGCCGGACTGTTTGAGCATTTGGCTCGTGTGCGCCTTAAATAGCTACCTTTGCCTCCTACTACACTCGGCGACCAGCAATCCATTCATTTTCGGTGTTATTTTATCTGGCCCCAGTTGTTCTCAAGGTAGATATCGTTATTCACCTGACAAATCACTTTCCAGTAGATACACTGGATACTTATCTACTGGATATCGATGTATCCGTTGGGCAATAGCGCTATCCATCGTTTGAACAACTGGGGCTCGATCAGTTTTCATTTTATTTATTTATTTATTTATTTATCGGGGGCGTTGTAATGGAATGAAGGAGGGGTTGGCTTCAAATTTGCGTGAGTAAATCGATGATTGAACCTTCATAATGGTCAGAAGGGAATTGTACAAAATTACGCCCGAAAATGAATAACATCCAATGGAGGACCTATTCCCATAGCAACTTTTTATAACAATAATGTAGCACTTACCAGCGCTATACACTAGATAAATTTTTACCCAGTAAACAACGCAATTGGTCCCCCGGGGGGGGGGGGGGGTACTTTAGGAATTTCTTGGTGGGGATGTGCCGCTGGGACCCTGGAACCCTTAACCTATACCAGAGCTAGTTCAGCTGAATTTTGCTACCCTATACTAGAGTAAACTCCGCAAATCCCCCCTATCCTAGAGTAGCTGTTTTCCAGAAACGACTGAGGTTATTAGCACAGTAGTCTAGCCAAAACAAAACCTTATACCACAATCCCTAGTCTAGATAAAATCTTCAACCAACTGATCAGTTTTCTGATTTATATACCCTATCCTAGAGTAGACTGCTTGAAAACCATACCCTTCGCAGTGGCACATACCTATATAGCCCATATATGGCAGTACCCACCCGAGAATTGGTCTCCCCAACTGACTTATTTAATGGCTGCAGTAGCCAGCCTCGTACCCAGGCCAGTTCGCGCTATCCGAGTTACCAGAGGAGGCTTGGAACCGAAAGCTTGACAGGTGACGTCACATCCGAAATCGCCGAGGACGACTGGGAACGAGGCTGGCGCTATTTAACTTTCGAAGAACCAGTACGTCCAAGCACTTTTTTTATATTTGTCTTAATGACTCTAAATATTTTATCTTCATGTTTTAGACGATTTTTATTAGTTTATTCCGTTATTGAATGCCAGAAATATTTTAATTGTAAATAACAAACCATTGGGTTTTATCTAATTGTGTTTGTTGTTGTTTTAGAGGATCACAAGTTTATCAGTGATTTTAGTTACTGTTACGTGTCACCGTCGTTAAGTGATAATCTTTAACTTAGGGCCTGTTTACATGGAGGTGGTGGAGCCCAGGTAGGCGAGGTAACCCGCTTAGGTGGGGTAATCGCCTGTTGTTATCATCTCTCATTTTAATTTCATCGTCGTTTATATGACAGGTGAGGTGGCTATATGAGATTATATAGACAGGCGGGTTACCCCAACTAAGCGGGTTATCCACCAACCTGGGGTCCCCCACCTCCATGTAAACATTACGAGCATTGTCTTAATGACTCTAAATGTCTTATCTTCATGTTTTGGACTATTTGTATGAGTTTATTCCGTTATTGAATGCTAGAAATATTTTAATTGTAAATAACAAACCATTGGGTTTTATCTAATTGTATTTGTTGTTGTTTTAGCCCAACTAAGCAGGTTATCTCACCTACCTGGGGTCCCCCACCTCCATGTAAAAAAAAGGCCCTTAGGGCCCTTAGATTCATTTGCAACATACGCGTATAGCTGTCGCGTTTGCCCGGTGAAATTTTTTACTGTTGTGTTTAGGCTTAAAAAACCAGTGGGCAAATGCGACAGCCATACGTGTATGCTGCGAATGAATCCACGCGTAGTTATCCTAGTTTCGAATCCAAAGCAACACTTGGCGATAGGTCCTTCACTTGCACCGTTCCATGGTTCTGAAATGCTTTGCCATTTGATATTAGGTGCCCCAAAGTCTGTTGATGCTTTTAAACATAGCTAATAAAGTGGAATGGTTATGAAGCCCGACGGAATTCTTTGTTATATGTTTTTGTCATCTTTTTTCGACCTCGGACCGTGTACAACGTTCAATAGCATTCCTATCATTTTGAACTTCGAGTGACCAGTAGGGACGTCGCATTAATTTATTCAGTCACAATTTGTGACGAAAAACAAAGGATTGTGCACGGTCATCAGTTGATGTTTGCCGGCTTTCATTACCAGTCTCCTCTCCTAACTATGTTTGAAAGTAAAGCTTAAAACACACTTATTTAGTTCAGCATTTTTATCATCATAACTTAGTATCTACCTTGTAGGGTTTGTAATTTTGTATTTCAGTATGTAACATTTCAATAGTTTTATCATTGTAATGTTGTATAGTACATTTTTAAATTTAAACTACTATTTTTATTTATTCAATTTTTAGATCTTATTTTGTTAATTGACTGAGACATCAAGGCGTAGGCCGAATCAGTAGTAGTCAGTAGTAGTCAAGGCAACGGCCGAATCAGCACGATAAAAAGTGGGTTTTACTTAATCTAATCTAAGTTTATTACTTGAAAAGGACCTTAGTCCCTTATCTTAGCAGAACTGAAACTGGGAGTCAAACGAACAATTATAGTGACCACTATAATTAGTGACCACTATATATTAAAGCGCCCCACTCTAGGAGAGTCTGGGGTCTATTAGGGTCTCAGAAATGCAGTCTCCAGCGTTTTCCGCAGGACATTTTTGGTAAATAAAAACGGAGGAAAACTGACTGTTATTATTTTTTTTATCAAGGTAATAAAATATGGTTTATATGGTTAATATGGTTAACATGGTTTATATGGGAAGGCGGGCTGGCTTTCTGAAATAACAACCAGTCAAGAACTCGGTAAACGGGCTCGCCTGTTATATAAACACAACTTAAGGTAAGGTGTAGTGTTTCAATACGGAAAAAAGGGTAAAACAGTACGCCATCAAGGAGTTTACAAGCAATGGGCGAGACATGTACCCTTCAGACAGGCAAACTCTCTTACCACGCCAACTTTTTCAATTAGTGTTTTTGTGCTTGTGCAGGGCAGAATTGCAAGAGAGCTCAATCTCTCGTCTCGCTTGGTGGTACTTCGTAAAGGAGCTTTCAGTCTCTTGATTATACTGGAGCAACGCTCAGTTGTGCATGTTGAAATAGGATAAATCAACAACTTTATGAGAGCTACATACACTCCGGGATAAAATTGGGGGTTGTCATGGTCTAAAGTATCAACCTAGATCTGTGTCTTCACATTCGGATCCATTTCACAGTGTTTCACTCCACTTAATAAAAAGGATAATGGAAAGGCTAACACAAAGACACCAATATAGTGCGAAAAATTTATCAGTCATCCTGATTTAATGATGAATAAAAATACTTTCAGGAAATGATAAAATAGATTTTTTCCAGATTTTAGCTGTACGCACGGCCGTATGTACGTATATGGACGCTACGCTCCTGAAGACGCCAAGATCGGCTTACTGAAAATAATACTGTCTCTATTTTTACTCGGCAGTTCGCGCCTCGCCCGAAATGCTTCGCTTTCCGAATGCATCGCCCTTTGGGCAACGTTCGTTCCCACCGAGCATTAGATAACATTTTACCAGGTTTGTAATAGGATCGTGCGACGGTTTGATCGGTCAAGTTGACTGGTTCAGCTCATATCTGTTGAATGGGAGCCAGCAAGTCTCCATCGATGGGTCGCTTTCTAGACACTTCTCACTTGACTGTGGCGTACCTCAGGGTTCTTGTCTAGGACCCTTGCTGTTCGTCATTAACACTTCCTCGCTGTTTAAGGTTATCGAGCGTCACCTGCCGCAAGTTCACTGCTTCGCGGTCGACATGCAGCTGTACCTCAGTTTCAGAGCAGGTGACGATAACGCACAAGATGTTGCGCTGCGTGCTATGGAGGAGTGCATACGTGACTCACGGAAATGGCTGATTGATGGAAGGTTGCTACTAAATGACGATAAAACTGAAGTTCTCTTCATCGAGAGCAGCTCAATAAACTTGTCCCCTTGAGTCTGCAAGTTGGTGATCATAATTAGATTGTGAAAGGTTTGAACCCAGGAGTCATTTCAAAAGTAGGTTGAGTTTGATCGTCCGGGTGAACGTAGTCCTGAATAGGACTGTTGTTGTTGACAGTGACTGACGTTTCGACAACCTGTGCGGTAGTCATCTTCAGAGTCAAAGTGAGTTGTATCACGTCAGTTGATGGTATTTGGGACTTTAAGATCCAACGACGCGGACGACAGCGAAACGTCAAAAAAACAATTGGTTTAATTAGCAAAACAACAACTTCGCACGTGCATCACACTTTTTTGTACATTTCTTTCCCGTTTTTGCACGACTACGACGTTAAAATGCCTAATTTCGCGTTTTATGGAGGACGTAAACAACCAACGACGAAATTTTATTTCTCTTTCTGAGCTTGAATTTGGTCCCTTGAAATTCAGCTTCAGGAGGGTTCGCCTACAATGGACAAAGTAAGTGGGTAGGAATAATCGCTATAAAGACTGAAATAACCAAATTCACTTTTTCAGCGACGTTCTTGTCGCTGTCGCGTCGTTGGGTCTTAAAGTCCCTATCATACTCTGGTTATTGATTTGATTGGTCAATTACGTCGTGATGTTATTGGTCGTCTGTCAGTTAAGCCGTGATGTTATTGGCTATGAAGACTCGTAATCAGTAATTGGTGCGTTTCGATCCGTCTATTGATCCTTCGTTAAATGCTAGAAACTTGGGGGCCATTATTGACAATTCACTAAGCAAGAACAATCATCTTCACCAAATATGTAAAGCTTGTTTCTATCATATTCATAAAATCCGTCGAATTTCAAAATTTTTGTCAAAGGAATGCCTTCAGACATTAGTTCATGCTTTTGTGACCTCAAGACTAGATTACTGTAACAGTTTACTTTATGGGCAGCCCAAATATCAGATTTTTAAGCCACAGCGTGTCCAGAACACCACGGCAAGACTTATTTCGAACACCAGGAAGTACGACCGTATCTCTCCAGCTCTCTCTAATCTTCATTGGTTGACATTGTTTTATCGTATCTATTTTACAATTTTCCACTTTGACTTTTAAAGCCATTCATGGCATGTCACCTAGCTACATCAGCGACTTAGTTAGCATTAGGACCTTTTCTTTAAATTTATAAAGATCGCATCACTCAATTTCTTTTGTAACATCCTAAGGGGCCTATGTTACCAACTTTAGGAGCTAGATCGGTTTCCGCTGCCGCCCCTACTTTGTGGAACAGCCGTCCTGCGCATATTCGTGATATCGGATCACTGTGCACTTTTAAGAGACATGTCAAAACACATCTTTTTCGATTAACTTTTACGTAGTTTTAACAACTCAAAGGGTTTAAGGCCTGGGTCAAAGATGTTTTCTGAGCATTTGAATAATTAGCAGTATCTCTCGCTAGGAGACCTAGAACAAAACGAACTTTCCCTTAAAAGTAAATCTTGAGGTTTTCTTGTGCCTTGACGTTTAATTATGGTCACGAGACCAAAAATTGAAAATGAAGGAAATTAGCGAATTGGTGGCGAATTTACTTTATTTCGTTAAACAAATGGTTTTTCTGAAAGAGGATAAACATACCCAACTTCTTTCTACGTTTGGAATGAATGTACTCAAAGTTTAAAATTAAAGTTTTAAATAATTCAAGATTAAATTTGGGCATTTAAAACGATGTTTTTCTTCATAATTTATTATTGAAGTGCAATGGACGGTCATTCCAAAAGTGAAGTGTTAAAAATGTTTAATATGAATTAGAAAAATGTTTCTTCCCGAGTTCTTTTCTTAAATCGGCCACCAACTGGTTAATGATTTACGATTTATAACAAAATAACATACACGTGGCTTATTAACACAATATTTATACTTTAAAATGTTAAGGACGATGAGTTCTTTAAGTCTGCCAAATTTTGATTCAGCGCCATCATCTATGTAAAAGTTATAGCCAATAACTCATTTTACACAAGTAAACGCCTTAGTCCCAGGCCTTAACCCTTTAAGTCCCAATAGTGACTAACGTCAATTTTCTCCTAACAATATCCATACAATGTCAAGAGATTAGGTTATGAGAAGTAATAAAATGATCACCTAAGGGAAAATGCCCTGATCTTTTATCAAATTCTCTCAACTCATTCATGAAGGAAATGTATGGAGATCAGTTTGGAGAATTTGTATGTGGATATTGGGGCTTAAAGGGTTAAACTACTTGAGAAAATTTTATTTTCATTATCATTTTATTTTATTTGTGTATTTTTATCGGCATTTTTACCTTTTATGGGTTTTATCTATCATAGATTCATTTCATAAATTGTAATTAGTATGACTGAAAGGCGATTTTGATCATTTTTTATGTTATAAGGTGCTATAGTAAATTTATGAATTGTTATTATCATTATTATTATTATTGTATTCAATTGTGCAGTAAACAAAGGTGAATCGCGCTATCAACTGAAAAAAATTGACTGCGATCAAGGTCACAAATAACTCCTTTGCTCCCTGTGTATAAATAAGCAGCGAGTACTTCGTATATTAAGAGCACATACTCTCTATCATTAGTAATGGTAATAGGACTGAGTGGAGTCCAATTCGGTCTGTAATCATACAAGTGATTAACAAAATCGATTTGTTTAATCACGAGTATGATTACAGACTGAACTCGACACGAAGTTCTGTTACCAATTAATCATAACTTTAACAAAATTTGTGATATATAAGGCCCTTTTTTAAAATCAAAACAGAAGAAATTCCAATTTTTTTAGAATTTTGTTATAGTTATGATTGATTATTATTATTATTATTATTGTTATTATTATTATTATTTGAATATTTTTTCCCTTATCAAAATAAATCTTCTTTAACTGAAGTATTTCATTTATTTTATTGATGAGTTTAGTCGTGTCATGGTCTACAGGGAACGTGTATCTGAGCTAGCGATTTAATTAACCCTTTAAGCCCCAGCCCCGGTATCTGCATACAAATTCTCCAAACTGATCTCTATACATTTCCTTACAGAATGAGTTGAGAGAATTTGATAAAAGATCAAAGCATTTTCTCTTAGGTGATCATTTTATTAATTCTCATAACCTAATCTCTTGACAATGTATGGATATCGTTAGGAGAAAATTGATGTTGGTCAGGACTTGAAGGGAATGAATGAGGAAGATTGTTCGTGAGGGACATACCGTTCAAAGTCGATGACACATGTTTTATCGATACAAAGACTAAAGAATAACTTCAGAAACCGATAGGTTTCTGATAGAACTTAATTGCTTCGATCGTTCAAATGAGGCAAACAAATAGCTTTGTACCATGTGCCCCAAGTGATGATAATTATTTGAAATCTATTTAGAGTAAATTAATTATAGGAACGCCGACATCACCTCGACATTTGAGAGCGTAAAACTGCTAAAAACATCTCAAGAAGCACACTGTATTTGACCTACTTCTACATCAAATAGGCCAATAACCATTAAAACGGCAGCCGAAGTCGTTTCTTGGTAAAAATTTGGTGCCTTTCTAAAAAACTATTTAAACGATATGTTTTTTATGTTGCCTCGGCACGAGTTTTCGTCTGGTCGGGCCGTGCATATTCTTAACTCTTAACAATTTATACTAGCCCCGAATGGATCTGAAAGATTTCAATTCTAAAAGAGAAATTGATGGAAACCATTAAAAATGAAAACGTTTAAATTGTGTGTAATTAGGTAAGAAAATGACTGCTGCACCATTGACAGGCAAATAAATTAAACTGCAATTCTTCTCTGCATCTAAAACGTCCCACATTTATACAGAAACACTGAATCGAGATTAATGTCGACAGAGATTTATAAGCTTTTCATCAGTTATTTTGCGACATAAAAATTCTGAAAATGTGTTGGTTTGTTTTTAGGTGTGTGAAAAAAACAGAACCTTGAAGACCTTGAAGTGAGTAATGAAAATGGATAGTTCGCCCAAAGTGTTACATTTACATTTACCATATTACAAGTATTCCCTCTCTACAAGGCTTATATGCTCGGATTCGGTCAGTTTTGTTAAGGTTCTTAATGATTCAGCTAACAGACCCCACTCTTAGAAACATTTAAGACTTGGGGCTGTGGCTAGTGTGGCGGGCAAACTGTTCCACTGCTTTATTGTTCTAGGTAAAACGCTGTATTGAAGAAAGGTTTTCTTTTCGTAGGGCATTGTAAAGGATTTGGCGTGACAATTTCTAAAGTGTCTCGTAATTGGTATAAGTTCTTTAGAAAGATCAACTTCAACTAAGTTATTTACAATTTTGTATAACATAATTGATCTTTGGTAAGTGTTTACAATAAAATAATGTTGGAATAAACGGATAGACCAACTGTGTTTGTTAAGAGTCATGTGTGCCAACACCGGCAGTAACTGAAAATGGAAATAAACTATGATAGCGTAGTCAAAGAAACTTTATTTCTCCTCCAAGGGCTACAAATTAAAAAATAACTTGAACTGAGCTGAATGAAATCTTACTGTCTGTTAATTGTTCAACGTTGTGCTAAACTTACACATTTTTCCTGTGCTGAACAAACACTGTAACGAGCCCTATCTTGGTCCGCTATATACAAGCTATGTATATATTTATCCTGATAAAAATCATCGTTCAGTTTTTTGAGTGTAAAATCCCTGAAAGAGTTCTCCTCACTGTAGCGATATCAATATGTAAAAAAGGTTTTCAAGGGTTTCACACCGGTGTGAAGCTAAGATGTGCGGCCTGTCTCTCCTTGCAAATTTTACGTTTTGAGTATTTACATTATGACATATACCACTCGTTTTGTATGCAAACGAAAATTAAAGTAGCATAACAGCAACTAAACTTATCTCCAACAAAACGAGACTCAACGCTACTTAGAGCGTCATTGTTTATTTAGTAAATTTATAAATTACTATTATTATCAAGGGAAAAATTTAACTGCAATCAAGGTCACAAATAACTCCTCTTCTCCCTGAGTATAAATTACCATCGAGTATTTCGCTAATTAAGATTATATACTCTGTATTATTATTATTGTTGTTATTAATAGTAGTAGTAGTAGTAGTAGTAGTAGTAGCTAGTAGTAGTAGTAGTAGTAGTAGTAGTAGTAGCTAGTAGTAGTAGTAAGTAGTAGTAGTAGTAGTAGTAGTAGTAGTAGTAGTAGTAGTAGTAGTAGTAGTAGTAGTAGTAGTAGTAGTAGTAGTAGTAGTAGTATTTGAATATTTTTTTCTCTCGTCAAAATAAATCTTCTTTAACTAAACTATTTTATCTTTGAGTTTAGCCCTGTCATGGTGTACAGGGAACGTAGCTCTGAGCAGCGACTTTTAACGGATATGTCCCTTAGGAACAATTTTCCGCATTAATTTTTTAAATTAATTTAATGAAATCGCCAGCTGAAACATGTTTTATCGATATAAAGAATAAAGCGGAATAACTTCAGAAACTCATAGGTTTCTGATACAACTTAACTGCTTCGCTCGTTCAAATGAGGCAAACAAATAGGTTTGTACCAAGAGAGAAGGAGCCAAGAGAACGAGTCCCTGTGCCTCAAGTGATCATAATTATTTGAAATCTATTTAAAGTTAATTTAATTAGGAACGCCGAAATCTCCGCGAGATTTAAGAGCGTAAAACTGCTAACTGACATCTCAAAAAGGACACTGTATTTGACCTACTTCTACATCAAATAGACCAATATAACCATTAAAATAATAACATTTTAAATTTTTTTAGATTAATTTAATGAAATCGCCAGCTGAAACATGTTTTATCGATATAAAGAATAAAGCGGAATAACTTCAGAAACTCATAGGTTTCTGATACAACTTAACTGCTTCGCTCGTTCAAATGAGGCAAACAAATAGGTTTGTACCAAGAGAGAAGGAGCCAAGAGACAAGTCCCTGTCCCTCAAGTGATCATAATTATTTGAAATCTATTTAAAGTTAAATTAATTAGGAACGCCGAAATCTCCGCGAGATTTAAGAGCGTAAAACTGCTAAAAACATCTCAAGAAGGACACTGTATTTGACCTACTTCTACATCAAATAGACCAATAACCATTAAAAAGGCAGCCAACGTCTTTTCTTGGTAAAAATGTTGTACCTTATCAAAAACTATCATTTAAACGATATGTTTTTTATGCTGCCTCGGCACGAAGTTTCGTCTGATCGGGCCGTGCATATTCTTAACTCTTAATTCTTCTTAAAGATAGAATACTCATCTAAACCGTCTCACATTCAGGGACATTAAATCGAGAATGTCGACAGAGATTTATAAACTTTTCATTAGTTATTTGGTGACACAAAAATTCTGAAAATGTGTTGGTTTGTTTTTAGGTGTGTAAAAATAATATAACTTTGAAGACCTTGAAGTGAGTAATTAAAATAGAAAGTTTGCCCAAAGAGTTTACAATAAAATAATATTAGAAGACCTTGTGACTACATGAATGGTAAAAACTAGTTCGCGGCCCCTTCGCTTCTCTCGAAGGGGACACCAACGACCTCGGACGTCTGAGAATCAGGCGAGGTTTTACGACATGATTAAACAAATAACGAGGAGATCAGGAAATGAGGAGAAACGGCGAAATGTAATACGCTTTAGTTGTTTTATTTCCTCAACCGTCGAATTTTTTTGAAATTAACTCCGCGTGCAACTAGTAACCATAAGGCACTCAAATTTGGGTTAGTCAGAACGGAATCCTTTACTGTAATCATTCAAAAGAAAAAAACGCTTTCAAAAGTACTTTGGCATGGTGTGATGATAATCTGTTTGTGTTTATGTTTTCGTCTTACAAAATGAGATTAGGCAATTGTTCTTTGGGGTTACAGGCAACACTGCGATGCCTGTTGAAAGTCACCTCCTGAATTACTAATCTGGTATTATGTTCTTGATGTTTTTCAGGCTGACATTGAGACCAAAATCCTCGAAATGGACCGAGAAATTCAGGTGAGAGCAAAAATTAGTGAAGCAGCAAAATTTTACAGAACCGAGCTGGTCAGTCATGCATTTTAAATCGCTCTGAGTCCACCGCCACACAAACATTAGATGATAGACCTGTGATCACCTGGGACCAGGTTGTACGGTGGGAGAAAAAGGCAAAAAACGGGCTGAAACACCAAAGCAAAAAAAAATCGGCGAGCGAAGCGGTGAAATGGGGAGGAGAAAAGGACAGCGCTACCCTTTCCCCTGCTTAGACTACCGCTCGCCTCGCTTCGCTCGCCGATGTTTTTTCCTTTTTAAGTCAATGCGGATCCTTGTCCCAGGCTAGAATGAGAGCAATAACAACTGTCTTGAGTCGAACAGGCGACTAAAAAAATCAGTCTAAATTTTTTTTAAAAAATGAAAACTTAACTAAAACTGTACTTTTATTTCCAAAGAACTTGGCTCCTTATGTCTTTTCCTTCCATAAACAATAAAACGGAGAGCGAGACTGGGGAGGACGTGTGAGGCTCTTGAGCTACGCTTGAAACCAAAATTGATAAAAAAAAAACCGACTGTTTTACAGTCTACCGTCGTCCCGAATGGCTGCCCATGCATGTTCTGCGAGGATTGGATAATCAAAGCCCATGGAAACTTTTCTTTTTATTCTGACAATTGCAGGCCCTCAAAACCAGGTTAAATGGCGCCCACATGCAGTGTGAAGACCAGCTCACACCTTGGGCCGCAAAGTCCGATGCGCCCATCATGTTTTTAGACCGACAAAACGTAGAGTGCGCAGGAGGAAAGTTCTTGGCCAGATTTCACCTCACCAGGCAGGCTTTTGATGACGACTCCTATGTTGGCTACGAGTACCGCTGCTGCCAGTTCATTCTGTAAGGGTGCGACCCAGATTTGCCCAGTCAGCAGTTGTTATAACTTTACGTAGTAACAAGTAAAAATATAAAACTGAAATAAAATCATACAGCTCAGTTAAGTATTTGGCTATTTGATGGTTATCAACAGGAGCCATAATCGGGGTAGGAGACCTTAACTGGTTACCTTCTCCAGTGATCGGGCTGGTTCCAACAAAATAGCCAAATGTGCTACTTTTAGCACAAATTGACCCATCTCGTTTGACACGCGCGCGCGTTTTTCAGCGAGGGCGCCGCGCAAAGGGTGAGCAAACAAAATGGCGTTGGAAATTACCCGGTAGGAGATGAATTAATTCATTTCTGTTATCATTCCCAATTCCCAATTTGAGGCAAGACCTTGGGGATCACCTCTTTGTCAATAACTCTGAATATGAGGACTGTGAATGTAATCCTGATCATATTAATCATCTAAGTGAGAGTGTTTTTGACAAATCCGGATACGAAGAGATGTCGGAGATCCGTGTGCGATGAATATCCTGTTCTGACAAAACACAAAAAAAAACTTGCAGGGAAGAGGAGGGCAGAAAGTTAACAACAACAACAAATACCGTATATATTCGAATAAGCGCCCAACCTCGAATTAGCGCCCATCCTAAAGGCAGAAAAAGTCAGTAAGTGCCCAGCCTCGATTAAGCAAAAGCCACTGAATCATAGTCAACATTTACCGTCACCGTACAAACGACTTATTGAAAGAATCAAGCAAAAAATAACTGCGAGAGAACAACTGGACAACTAACAATTTGACTAATAATAAACGGCCGTTTAACTGTGACGGATCGAAACGCACCAATGACATTATGAGTCTTCATAACCAATAACATAACGGCTTAACTGACAGACGACCAATAAAATCGCGACTTAATTGACCAATCAGGTCAATAACGAGAGTTTAATACCATCAACTGACGTGATACAACTCACTTTGACTCTGAAGATGACTACCGCACATGTTGTCGAAACGTCAGTCACTGTCAGCGACAACGGTCCTATTCAGAACTATGTTCACCCGGACGATCATACTCAACCTACTTATGAAAAGTATTAAAATTACAGTTCAGAAATTTCCTAGTCGTTCTTGGAAATTCAAGAGGTGTTAAGCTTCTTGTCGAAAATAATTCGTTAAACTTTCATATATTCACCGATGACGTGTTCGCAAAACTGATCGAGCGTCCTTATTAAAAATACACTACGAGGTCAAAAGTAGAACTACACAACAGATGTTTACCCAGCAAGCACCTAGAAAAATAAGAGATATCTTGCTCTTGTAATTGAAATATACAGTCGAACCTCCCGTAAGCGACCACCCAAAATGCAACGCTTGGTGGTCGCTTACGGTAGGCAGTCTCTTACGAGAGTCGGACTGCAAAGGCGAAATTTTTATATCGACCTAGAATAGAGTGGTATATTTATTCTAAAAAAAATAATGAAAATTTACTTTTCCCTGCCAACGAATTACTGGTAGTTTTATTCACAAAATCATTACCTATTCTTTGTGACAGTTTATTTACGAAGTGCACTTAATTCAGGATAACGCGCGTTATAAATTTGTGGTTAAAAAATTTTACTTGTGTACCTGACTTCTTGTACAGAAATGTCCTTAAGACGTCTGACGAACAAAAACTTAACTTCTTAAACTGAAACCTGGAAATCTGAGTCTTTTTCACAAGGGTAATAGTTGATGCCAAAGAATAAATTCCTTTTTGTCCATTTTTACAATGTACTTCACTGTTTAGTAAGACCGTGTGTCAAGTGGTCGCTTACCGTAGGTTGAAAACAATAGAAAATTCTAAAACTGTCAGCCGAAAAAGTGGTCGCCGTCGCTTACGGGAGGTGGTCGTTTACGAGAGGTTCTTTTCTTAAACCGGCCACCAATTGGTCATTTACGATTTATAAGAAAATGGTCACGTGACATATCAGTTGACTTATTTACAAAATATTCATACTTAAAAATGTTATAATAATAATGATAATAATAATAATACACTATATTTAAAGAGGGTAGCACTTAATAGTTACAGAAACTAGTAAACTTGTGGCCCTCTATCTAAATTAAAATTACAAAAAGCGTAAGATTCAGAATGTACAAAGTCTAAGTACAAAATAAATAAAACTAAGGAAATATAAAAGTTCTACATCAATATGACTGAGCATAAGAGCTAATGATATGGCTAGTGAAATACATACAAGAATATGATTAAACTATGAAATGGTGTAATTCCTGCTGCTCTTTAAATAAGATATTTCGAAAATTATTCTTAAAGGATTCTAGTGATACTGCATTTCTAAGGTCTAGACTTAAGCTGTTCCAGAGTTGGCAAGTAGAAACTGCGAACGACCTACCGCCTTCGGTGACCCGATTAAATTTTGGGCAAATAAAATTTATATTACTATATCTAGTTACACGACTATGTTGCTGACTGTTGAGTCTTAAGGAGTCTTCAATATATAAGGGCGATGAGTTCTTTATGTGTGTCAAATTTTGATTCAGCACCATCATCTATGTCAAAGTTATAGCCAATGACTCATTTTACACAAGTAAACGCCTTAGTCCCAGGCCTTAAAAAATTGAGAAGATTTTATTTTCATTTTATTTTATTATGTATTTTTATCGGCAGTTTTACTTTTTATGGGTTTTACCTATCATAGATTCATTTCATAAATTGTAACTAGTATGTTAAAAAGCACTATAGTAAATGTATAAATTATTATTATTATTATTATTATTATTATTATATTTAATTGTGCAGTAAACAAAGGTGAATCGCGCTATCAACTGAAAAAAATGAACTGCAATCAAGGTCACAACAAACAACTCCTTTGCTCCCTGTGTATAAATTAGCAGCGAGTATTTCGTATATTAAGAGTACATACTGTCTATTATTGCTTTCGAGGTACGAGAACGCAAGCCCTAATTTGTGTTGGGTGTTCTGTGTATTATTGGGTGTCCTGTGCAATTAATAAAGGAGGTTTTTTGAGATTGTATTTTCGTCGTCGACACACATTTGCCTTGCTTTGAGGCGCTTGCTTACGTTTTGCCTCACTTTGACGCGCTAACTCTCGTGGCCCGGTCTCGTGGTGATTCTAGCGTCCTCGGCGTTCATCTTTCAAAGGTTTGCTGAGGTCTGATATTCTGTCTTCGTAAAGCGTTCACCTTTTAAAAAGTTTGCTGAATCTTCGTAAAGCGTACATCGATCTGTGTTTGCTGATCGTCCAAAGCGTTCATCTTTCAGACGTTTGCTGTTAAATTTTACGTTGGATTAAGCCATCATATTTTTCAGCATGGTTCATCACTGTGTTTGGAAAATGTCTGCGACTTCTGTTGCATGCATCAAACCGGGTTTAGTTCGGCGGCCGTTGTGTCACAAAGTAATTGACCTAGTTGTGTAGCTCGGCGGCCGTTGTGTCACAAAGTAAATCTACCGAGTTGTGTAGCTCGGCAGCCGTTGTGCCAAAAAGTAACTCTACCGAGATGTGAAGCTCGGCGGCGCTGTTTGATCATGACTTGTGATATTTCGGCACCGGACAAACGAACACTTTAACTCTATGTTATTTATTAGGAAAAAGTTATAAACCACTCTCGAGTCACTGAAATCAACAAGCTCGACCAAATTACTGGAAAAGTTATTGACGTGAGCCGCATACACATTCCACTGAAGGCTTTCACAGGGTTAGTGCGAAGTTTGAATTCAGATGTGAAAGCTTTTAAAACAGTAAATTCAATGAAATTCATTTTGTCAACAAGTTGATGATTGGATGCTCTTAGAAATAACAGAGAAAATTATCCGAAGAAATGTTTTTGAAGAAAGAAAAAGAATCCCGGGTTAAGCACTAATCGGCCTTAGCAACTGCGCCCTGTAACTCACGCCAGTAAAACAAAATGTTCTATTTACACGCCCGGCGACGCACTCCGACCAATGTCTCCTCCGATACTCGATAACAAGCACTTGACACCGAACCATACGATATCTTTTCAAAACCTTCTTATAACGTGATACACAATTTAAATAGAGGTTTTGCTGTACGCAACCCTTACGTTCAAAATATACCATAATGCATGATCATATTTATCTATATCGCAACCACCCTTCCTCTTCAACTGCTACCTGTAGGCCTAACAAACATATCGAACGCACTCTCCCACGCTCCGATTACTCCTAGTTAGTAATGGTAACAGCCGGACTGAGTGGAGTCCAATTCGGTCTGTAATCATACGAGTGATTAACAAAATCGATTTGTTTAATCACGAGTATGATTACAGACTGAACTGGACGACACGAAGTTTTGTTACCAATTAATCATAACTTTAACAAAATTTGTGATATATAAGGCCCTTTTTTAAAATCAAAACAGAAGAAATTCCAATTTTTTTAGAATTTTGTTATAGTTATGATTGATTATTATTATTATCACCCTTTAAGCCCCAGTATCTGCATACAAATTCTCCAAACTGATCTCTATACATTTCCTTAGAGAATGTGTTGAGAGAATTTAATAAAAGATCAAAGAGTTTTCTCTTAGATGATCATTTTATTAATTCTCATAACCTAATCTCTTGACAATGTATGGATATCGTTAGGAGAAAATTGATGTTGGTCACTGTTCGTGAGGGACATACCGTTGAAAGTCGCTGACACATGTTTTATCGATGCAAAGACTAAAGAATAACTTCAGAAACTGATAGGTGTCTGATACAAGTTAACTGCTTCGCTCGTTCAAATGAAGCAAACAAATAGGTTTGTACCATGTGCCCCAAGTGATGATAATTATTTGAAATCTATTTAAAGTTAAATTAATTAGGAACGCCGAAATCACCACGAGATTTAACGGCGTAAAACTGCTAAAAACATCTCAAGAAGCCCACTGTATTTGACCTACTTCTACATTAAATAGGCCAATAACCATTAAAAAGGCTGTGAGCCGAGGTCGTTTCTTGCCTCGGCACGAATTTTCGTCTGGTCGGACCGTGCATATTCTTCACTCTTAACAATTTATACTAGCCCCGAAGGGACCTGAAAGATTTCAATTGTAAAAGAGAAATTGATGGAAATCATTATAAATGAAAACGTTTAAATTGTGTGTAATTAAGTAAGGAAACGACTGCTGCACCATTGACATGCAAATAAATTAGGCTGCAATTCTTCTCAAAGATGAAATACTCATCTAAACCGTCCCACATTCATACAAGAAAATTGAATCGAGAATGTCGACAGCGATTTATAAATTTTTTATCAGTTGTTTGCTGACATAAAAATTCTGAAAATGTGTTGGTTTGTTTTTAGGTGTGTGAAAATAACATAACCTTGAAGACCTTGAAGTGAGTAATTAAAATCATGTAAAATAGAAAGTTTGCCCAAAGTGTTTACAATAAAATAATATTAGAATGAACGGATAGACCAACTGTGTTTGTTAAGAGTCTAGTGTGCCAATACGGTAATTGGAAATGTAGTAGTAGTAGTAGTAGTAGATTGTTTTTTCTCTCGTCAAAATAAATCTTCTCTAACTGAACTATTTTATCTTTGAGTTTAGCCGTGTCATGGTGTACAGGGAACGTGTATCTGAGCTAGCGATTTAATTAACCCTTCAAGCCCCAATATCCACATACAAATTCTCCAAACTGATCCCTATACATTTCCTTAAAGAATGAGTTGAGAGAATCTGATAAAAGATCAAAGCATTTTCTCTTAGGTGATCATTTTATTAATTCTCATAACCTAATCTCTTGACAATGTATGGATATCGTTAGGAGAAAATTGATGTTGGTCACTGTTAGGACTTGAAGGGAATGAATGCGGAAAATTGTTCGTGAGGGACATACCGTTGAAAGTCGCTGACACATGTTTTATCGATACAAAGACTAAAGAATAACTTCAGAAACTGATAGGTTTCTGATACAACTTAACTGCTTCGCTCGTTCAAATGAACCAAACAAATAGGTTTGTACCATGTGCCCCAAGTGATGATAATTATTTGAAATCTATTAAAAGTTGAATTAATTAGGAACGCCGAAATCACCACGAGATTTAACGGCGTAAAACTGCTAAAAACATCTGAAGAAGCACACTGTATTTGACCTACTTCTACATTAAATAGGCCAATAACCATTAGAAAGGCAGCCGAGCTCGTTTCTTGGTAAAAATTTGGTACCTTATAAAAAACTATCATTTAAACGATATGTTTTTTGTGTTGCCTCGGCACGAATTTTCGTCTGGTCGGGCCGTGCATATTCTTAACTCTTAACAATTTATACTAACCCCGAATGGATCTGAAAGATTTCAATTGTAAAAGAGAAATTGATGGAAATCGTTATAAATGAAAACGTTTAAATTGTGTGTAATTAAGCAAGAAAATGACTGCTGCACCATTGACATGCAAATAAATTAGGCTGCAATTCTTCTCAAAGATGGAATACTCATCTAAACCGTCCCACGTTCATACAGGAACATTGAATCGAGAATGTCGACGGGATTTATAAACTTTTCATCAGTTATCTGTTGACATAAAAATTCTGAAAATGTGTTGGTTTCTTTTTAGGTGTGTTAAAATAACATAACCTTGAAGACCTTGAAGTGAGTAATTAAAATAGAAAGTTTGCCCAAAGAGTTTGCAATAAAAAAATATTAGAATGAACGGATAGACCAACTGTGTTTGTTAAGAGTCTAGTGTGCCAACACGGTAATTGGAAATGGAAATAACATACGATAGCATAATTAAAGAAACTTTATTTCTCTTTCAAGGGCAACGAATTAAAAAATAACTTGAACTGAGCTGAATGAAATCTTAGGAAAAAACAGTTTTCGTGTTAAGTGAAAAGAAACACACAGCAACTGCTTTTATTATATAAACTTATAGTGTTTTATAGGGATTTTGGCCACTGAGAAATGTCGGACCAGGGCATGTGTTCTGAAAGCTACATTCAGCCAATCAACGGTTGCTATGTCATTTGAAATTTTCGCGGCAAACGTAGTTTTTTCATCGCCGCTTTGACATTTATGATCCAAAGCTACATATCATCTCAGAAAATAGTTTAAATAATTCATTTTATAGTTTACTTTTTTGATATTGACTTTTTTTGAAGATAGTAAATTTCATATCTCCTCGTGCCATGTATTATGTATCATAATTACAACTTATGTGCTTTGTAATAAAAATTAGCTATTATAGGTTTATTAAATACATCTCGGATGATGATGCTGATTTTTAGTACTCAGTAAGCAATAAGGCAATGGCCAAATCTTTCGTGCTTTCTGTTATTCTGTATGGGGGTGATAACAAAACGTTTTGCACGGAACGTTTTTATTTCGTGCACCAGACAAGATGACTCCTCTTCTCATTATTATTATTTACACAGAATATTTTGTCAGCACGTAAGCTCTCGTTTCTTTGTCGGTAAAGACGGCAGGATACTTAAATTATCTGACAAAAGATTTGAAATTTGGGGACGATTTGAATTTGTAACAGTGTTATCCTGCCTCTCGTTGGGGAAAATACAGTCCTACAGTTGATCGGGAAACCAATCGCGTGCCGTAGTTTCCAACCAGCCAATCAACGATTAGCACTTTTAGCCACGTCCATCATACTGAATAAAACACATTCATAAGTGGAGATATCGCACACTGTATCAGTTCTATACAGCAACACGACAGCAGAAGACTTGGCCTTGAGTACCTCTGTTTGAGGTAAGGTATTCCAATTTGTTCTCTCTTTTAACTCTCATACTTGGATAAAAACTGCGTTTCATTGACTATAAAGTTTTCAACATAAACGCAGTACACAATTTGCCTTTCTTCATTTACTATTCTCCAGTTTTTGTTTTGATTAAACAAGTTAAAACTTGAGAAAATTATAGTGTACATAAACCACAAAGGATGAAAACGCATTTCAAGCTGAGATGAAATAGATGTCGCAAGCAGTCAACTTATTTAACTCCTGATCTTCACTTGTTTGGACTTAACTAAAGAAGTAAAATTTCTCTATTATGTCTGACAATTTTACATCTACTTTTTACTAAACTGCTTTTAAATTATTTTCATTTTTGCAGTATATTTTCAACCTTTGAACGAACGTAACCTGGATAGTAATGATGTTTCGCTTGTCTGCGATAGCCTTGTTGGTTTTCTTTGCCAGTACTTTCGGGCCATCACAGGTTGGTAACGCGGTCAGAGTTACTGCTATTGAAAAGGAGCTGTTATTAAGATTTCTCTCGCTCATGCAAAGTGTACGGTGCTCGGAGTATTTTATGCCTTATTCCCACTTCGAGTGGATTTCTACTGTCGTGTAATTTTTTTCGTGTGTGCGCACGTACTGAGGCAATGTATGAAAAGTGTCGTTAAGCGACGTGCGACCTATCATACATCAGGGGCACCCAACGACGGTTCCTCCTAAATACATTGAATAAACGTTTTACGCTATCCAGAGTAACTTTAGATCACTAGAAATGCATTCTAAGCGGCGCTATAAAATTTGTATCTGCTCGGTCATCCTAGGGGAACTTGAATCTTTTCGAAATTACGAGAGCTTCAGTATTATTTTCCGGAAAATTTTAGATGCAGTTTATCTCATTACGAAACTGAGAATTTTGCTAATTCTCCTCTCCATCACACTTTTGAATCCGAAAATGTTAGGTTTCCTTTTTTCTGCGAAAAATAACCTAACCTGAAGAATCAAATGTGGAAAAAAAAAACTTTAGAAAATCGTAGGGAAAATTGTACACGGATGGAACGGTCATCTAGAAATTTTTAGCCGTCCTCAAGTGACAGAAAATTCTAGGCATCATCTGCTTCTCTGAACAGATATTTTACAGAAAACAGTCGTTGGGTGCCCCTGATACATTAGGAAGCTTAAGCAACAACGACGGGGACTGCGATACGAAAACGTCATTTAACAATTGAATTTGTGCTAATTCAAACACAACTACTCCAACTTAATCGCCCTTATTCCATCTAATCTCGTTCAATTCGTCAAATGTTGGCAGTTTTTTCTGGAGTTTAATTCAAAAGGACTGTATCGAAATTTAAGAAAAGAAAAAAAAAGTCGTTGTCTTGTGTCCACGTCCTTAAAAAACGTGAAACTCAGGACGTTTCGCGTCGTAGTCGTGCAGTGACGGGAAAAAAAGGAGAAAAAAACGGGATGCGCGTGCAAACGGTTTTTTTGCTAATCTAAACCTATTGCTTTTATTTTTTGCTGTTCTCGTTGCCGTCGTCATCATCGTTGCTTGGCTCCCTACTGGCTCCATTTTATTTACGCGCGAAAATTTTACGACAGTGGAAATCCACCTAAAGGCTAATATTCGCTTAGAGTACTGTACAAATGATCTCTCGTTTTCCTCAGGGATAGTTATGCAAGCGAAATTTGCAAATCGCACCTTCGCACCTTAGTTTCTTCGCATCAAAAATCGTGGCAAAATTTGGGCAAAAAATCGCCTGTATGAACAGTCCTAATAACATTCGCTTTTCTCGATAACAAAAAATCGCCAAAAATTACTACTTGCGCGCTAAAACTGACATAGTGCCTGAAATAAGTACTATTTTATATCAGTATAAATCGACACAAATTTTCGAGTTTCTGTAAGTAACAGACTTGCCGGCAATAATTTTAAGTTAAAAGAGGTGATGTCTTTTTTTAATAATGCCGTAACAAGAGCGGAACTGTTGATATTTCTCTCGGCAAATAGCAAACTGTAGTGTTCTTCTAGCCAAACAACCGGATTAATTACGGGTTTAGTTCCAATTACGGCTACAAGCTGTCGATTGTGAAAAACACTTCTTCTTGATCTTAAGAAGAACTTTTGACTACACGCATGGTAAAATCTCCAATTGCAATGATCAATCTGATAAAGGCGAAATGCTCGCAAGCCGCATTAACACCAGCGCTATGAACTCAGTCGTCTTGCATTAAGCTGAGTTTTACGGCATCATGAAAGAAACGACGAGGAGATAAAGAAATGATGGGAAATGCCCGGGGGTAGCCTCCCACGCAGGCGTTTTTAGGGGAGCTCCCCTAAAAACGCCTGCGTGGGAGGCTACCCGAGGGGGGAGGGAGGGGGGTTGTACTCCGGATTTCAAGTGACGGGGATGATCGAAGAATATTTTTGGCTTTGAAATCTGCAATTCTGGGATTCTTTTGAGTAGGGAAATTTGGTATTGTATTGGGTGGTTTGATTTAAGTAGGGATTTTTTGGAGTATTCAAAACAATCTCAAGATTTGTCGTGGCTAATTTTTGGACCAGGGTTTTTTGGGGGTTCTGATTTTTGCCGCTATTCTATCATCACCGTCACTTGATATCCGCAGTACTCTACCTGGCGAGAAATGTTATTCGCTTTAGCATATCCTCAACTGTCGAATTTCACTTAAAATTAAGTTCGCGTGTAACTAGCTATTAAGAAAAAAGCACACAAATTTGGGTTAGTCAGGACGGAATCCTTTACTGCAATCATTCAAAAGAAAAAAAACGCTTTCAAAAGTACTTTGGCATAGTGTTATGATAATCTGTTTTTCAGTTTATGTTTTTGTCTTTCAAGATGAGATCAGGCCCTTGTTCTTTGGTGTTACAGGCAACACTACGAGACCTACGATGCCTGTTCAAGTAATCTACTGAATTACTAAACTGGTATGTACATTCTTGATGTTTTTCAGGCTGACATTGAGACCAAAATAATGGACATGGACCGAAAACTCACGGTGAGAAGAAAATTAGGGAAGCAGCGAAATTTTACAGAACCGAGTCAGTCATGCATTTTAATCGCACAGAGTCCACCGCCACACAAACATAAGATGATAGACCTGTGATCACGAGTGAGAGTAGCTTGGGACCAGGCTCTTCGGTGGGGGAAAAACGCAAAAAACGGGCTGAAATACACGAGCAAAAAAAATTCGGCCAGCGAAGCGGTGGACTGGGGAGAGGGAAAGGGCAGCGTCACCCTTTCCCTTCCCTAGACTACCGCTCGACTCGCTTCGCTCGCCGATTTTTTTTCTTCATTTTCCGTCAATGCGGAAGCTGGTCCCTGGCTAGAGTGGGAGCAATTAACAACTGTCTTGAGTCGAACGGGCGACTAAAACAATCAGTCTAGTAGAAAAGAAAAGAAAATGTTTCGCAAAAATGAAAACTTAACTAAAACTAAACGTTTATCCCCAAACAACTTGGCTCCTTAGGTCTTTTTCCCTCCCTAAACAATAAAACGGAGAGCGAGACTGGGGAGAGCGTTTGAGGCTCTTGAGCTACGCTTGAAACCAAAATTGAGAAAAAAACAGACTGTTTTACAGTCTACTGTCGTCCCGACTGGCTGCCCCATGCATGGTCTGCCAGGATGGGATGATCAAAGCCCATTAAAACTTTTCTTTTTACTCTGACAAATGCAGGCCCTCGAAAACAGGTTGAATGGTGCCCACCTGCAGTGTGACGACGTGGCTACAGGCTGGGACCAATACGCCCATGGGCCAATCGTGTTTTTAGACCGACAAGACGTAAAGTGCCCAGAGGGGAAGTTCTTGGCTAGATTTCATCTCGTGAGGCAGCGTGGGGATCCAAATTCCCCTGTTCGCTTCGATTACCGTTGCTGCAAGCTCAGTCTGTAAGGGTGCGGCCTAGATTTGCCCAGTCAGCAGTTGTTATCAATTCATGTCCTGACAAGTAAAAATAAAATACTGAAATAAAATTGGTTGTTTGATGGTTATCAACAGAAGCCATAATCGGGGTAGGATACCGTAACTTGATACTTTCTCCAGTAATAGCTTTGGCTCCATCAAAATAGCCAAATGTGCTATTTTTACCACAAATTGTCCCATCTCATGTGACACGCGCGCGCTTTTTTAGCGAAGGCGCCGTGCAAAGGGTGAACAAGCAAAATAGCATTGGAAATTACTTCCGTAGGAGATGAATGAATTCAATTTTTATTATCATTCCCTCCGGCTCTGAATTTGAGGCAAGACCTCGAGGATCTTCTCTTTGACAATAATTCTAAATAATTATGAGGATTGTGAACGTAATTCTTATCATGTTTATCACCGTATGGAGAGTGTTTTTGACAAATCCAAAAAAGAAGAGATGTCGGGGATGTGTGCGACGAATATCCCGTTCGGACGAAACTTGCAGGGCAGAGGAGGGAGGAAAGTTAACCGCAGCAACAAATAGTTATGTCTAATTTTCCTTACATATATCTTTGAACTAATGATAAATACAGCTCCGCCAGCTTCAAACAGCGTCTACCGACAGGATTGCGCGGAAAAATACTTTAGATATAAAAATTTCTCAGGGGCACCCAACGTCAATTTTCGGAAAATATCTGTTCGGACGACGATTTGAGATCTAGAATTTTAGGAAAATTTATTGTAAAATTTCTTGCTTGCCTGCCTCTCCTAGGATTTTCGAACATCTAAAAAAATGGTATAACTGCCCCTTTTCAATGGATTTTTACCCTAAAAAGGTAACGTAAAATTTTCGGGAGCCTTTTTTCTGGCTGAAATTTTCGAAAAGGTGAGTTTTGATCCCTATACAGTTTTCGGATCACTGGACTTTCAGCCAGGAAATCCGAATAGGTGAAAAATTTTTAGGGGATAAAAATATGCCTATATCTACCGGTTAAATACTAAAATACGTTTAACAATGCTATTTTTAATTGGTTTTGAACTATATTCTCGTTAGGTGCCCCTGATTTCTGACACTTAACGTTATCCTTAGCAACGTAGCGCAGTTGTCTAGAAGCCGACCTTCCGCTCTACTCTGGGGTTAGCTGTTTTTTTCTTTGTTGTATTGTCTTTTCTCGTTTTGTTTGTGTATCTTTTTTAAATCATAATTTCCCCTTTAGCTTGATTCCCTTTATTCTTGGGCCATTACAGCTTCGAGAGCGAGAAAAAAAATAAGGAGGAAAAGAGGGAGAAGGAGAGGCTATCAGATGTAATCAGTTTTCTGTAATAACACCAAAGACAATTTCTCACAGGAGCCCAGGAAAATAAATTTCAAATTGATTCACAGGAAATGAGAAAACACAGTTAAGCCTGGTTGTCATATGCTGCCGATATATCTGCGACGTAACTCGAGTTAACTTCGCAGGCATGCCGGCGATTAAGACCGGGATGACCAATGTTGCAGGCCACTTCTGTTCTCAATTCGGAAAAGTATCCCAGGTAGTACCGGCGGCCATGTGGCAGGTGCCTCGGCGGCATATGAGAACCAGGCTTTACAGTCGTCATGCCGTGTAAGATTTCATTTTGTGAAATTCGAGGCTTTTGAAGTTTGTTTCAACTTATTACATTTATAGCCCTTGAAAAGTGTGAAAAAGAATTTCCTGATGGATTTTGTCTTATAAGTCTTCCCTTTTCCGTTTACCCATCACCCAGGCGGAGCTAAAGGTCAGCGGCTACCCGCAGAAGAGCACAACCCTGGTTATGTAAATAACTTTGCGCGGTACAATTCAACTCGATTTTAATTGTTTGTAACGGCTAAAAAAAGCCCCCAAAATATGTAAATACCTAAGCCAAGCTGATTACTGCGGTGGAATTCATGACTTATCGTAGTTCATGGCGTTATTATTGAATTCTCAGCCCTTTGAATCGAACGTTTGGGTTTGTTTTTGACAAATTAAGTCAAGGTATTGGACCTCGGTTAGCAAGGTAAGGCAGTTTCTTTCTTGTAATGTTTTTAGTCGCTTATCACTTCAAACTAAAATAAACAAAGCAAGCGATCGGTTAAGATTTCTCGTAATGAAGATGACAGTTTAGCTGTTCGAGTTCCTTCAATTGTACTTGCAAAAATGAACTGCACACCAGATATTTATTGTAGACGCTAGACGCGCACAAAACTTTTACATGGAAAATATGGATGTCATAAGATCGTTCACGCTATCTTACATCATACATGCACATGTCTGTTTCAATATCATTAAAAACAACAGCTACGAAACAATGAATTACTGAGGTGCTAATGCTGTCGATATCTTGAGAATAAGTTTCACTGTTCGTTTTAAATAGTCAATCCAACTTTAATTGAGCTACTACATATGGTACTGTTTCAGTTTTTGTTTCCTTCCACCTCATGAAAAGTTTTCAAAATCGGACGAGGATAAAAAACTATGGGTCTTCTGGATAACACAGTGCGTTGTACTGAAGACGTTTTAACCTCATCGTCAACACTGTGTTAACATGAAGGCTCATTGAAATTATTGGTGTGTAAAATTTGTATAATTATTGAACATAACTGAAGGAGATAAAAAAGGACCTTAACTTTGATGGAAAACCGAAAGTAATTTCAAACATGTGTATGATGTGAGATACTCTTCTTGGAGTACCTAGTTCAGAGGACCACCTCGCGATTTCAGTCTTTAATAAGCAACCATTATTAATGTTATTACTGATCATAACAGTATTCTTTATTTACCCTGTTCCAGGCGTTTAGATAGTGAGGAGCGGTGCAAAGTAAAAAGGACGGCGAAAAAATAAAAACAAGGGAGTGGGAGAGGTTCCCCCTCTACTTTTCATCTCTTTTTTTACTTCACACCACTCCCCACTATCTGAATGCCTGGAACAGGCTATTTTTATTGAACAACCTTTTCAGTAAAGAAAAAGTAAATTTATCCTTGCACTCACTATTTAAAAAAGGTTAGTGCCAGAATCATCAGTTGTAAACAGACATTGTTCTAAAAATAACTCTAGTTCACTCTGAGATGTGTTCACAATTTCGTGGAAGGTTAATTTTCATTCAGTTAGACAGTGAGCGAAAGTTATATATTGTACAAGTGCCCCTATTCTGGTGATACAGTGTAGGAGGTAGCTTTCAATAGAATACAACAATGTAGTAAAAGTTTTGATAATATAATTATATAATTATAGCAGGTCAAGCTGTTTGTAAGAGCTGGTACACTGAATAATGAATTGATAATGCAAAATATGCAATATTAAGGACAGTCTTCAAAAACAGAAACCTAATTATGATTCCAGGGGAACTCAGAGAGTTTAATTTTCGCGTAACTAATGTTCTTAAAACTTGAAACCCAACCCCGATCTTAAGGTGACACCTTCAAAAACATCTGCACCAGTACCTCAAATTTATCCCAGCTGGAGGAACTTGATCCCATACTTAACCATTTTAAAGTAAAGAGATCCATAAATTTAAGGATTATCAAACTATTTGCAATAAAAAGGCCTGCGACTTGAGTTGTGTGTGCATGAAATGTATGAGTTCCCATTAGGAAAGACTCATTAATTTTTATGGTATTTAAAAGATGCAATTTGATATTTGATATAAAGACCTTGCTCCAGTCCACTGTATATGCATGAAACCTTAGAATGTGAAATGATGACTCGGGCCTAGAATCCGAATGAAACACTATTTTGTTCACAGTGATTTTTCAACTATTTAGTTCAGATAGCTGCAAATAGCTATTAAGGACTGTTACTGTATTTTGTCGTTTTAGGATGCTTCCATTAGTCACTGATCATAATGTCTCTTTTGTGTTCTAGAACAAAATAGTTAATGAAAACTTGTCATTGTTAAGCTAAAAAGTGAATTGCTCTCTCTTAAAAAAATTAAAGTTGCAATAAATTTTTCAACGTTCAGTGCTCTTTTTTCCATTACCTAATTAAATTTTCATGTCTGTGTTAAGCTTTTCTGTACTTTGAGTACTGGATTCTTGATTTCATTGTTTTGTTTGTTTTTCAAAGCTCACTTTTGAATATTGGCATTGATTTAAAAAGGGTGCAGATTAGATGGATTTGAAATGTGGACGCCTGTGGATATTTAGTTAATCCTTTCATTGTTTTATTAGAGTAAACATAACAATCAGACTCTATTGTTTATATTCAAGCACACAGCTATTCCCATGGGAGGTAAGTTTGTAATAGCAAATGAGTGCAAGTTAGAATAAATTAACATAATTAGTATTTACTCAGTCCAGTAATTCACTAGTCTAGCTGAGCTATTCTTAACTTGTTGGGATCACTGTATGCAATCAAAGTCACACAAACATATTCAAGGTAACCACTCTGTTAGTTCTATGATCTCGGGTCTGTGACTATCAAGAGCTTAACTGCCTTATTTTCCTTTGGTTTTGCAAATTTCTTGAAACTGTTGCTATCATGCAAACTTTATCAGTTGATGTACAGAATGTAGGTGTGTTCAATAATATATTAATTTTTATCCTTGGTTCAATTTTTGTTTTCCTTTGTTTTGTCTTCATGCACACAAATAAAGAGAATAAGAATTTCAGCCAAGGATAAAATTAAAAAATACAAATGAAGCCCTGTAAGTAACAAAAAGAGATGCCATATTTAAGTTAAGTGGCCATCCTTATATATTTGACTGCTATAGTGAAACAGCCATTTGATCCTGTTCTCAGGTTTTGACTTGCTACATAGTGAAAACATAGGAACAAAGCCAAAAACACGCGGTGAAAATAAAATTGTCTGTTACATGAAGCGATCAAAACATTACAAGAAAGTCAAGGCTCTGTTCTAAAAAAAATTGAAGGGAGCCCGGTGCTCTGAACCTGTAAAATCGAGGGTGCCCAGTGTATGATTTGTATGAACCAACTAAGATTCTCTAGTGGCCCAAGAGCAAAACTTAGGTACCAGGGGCCACCAGGCACTGCTACAATGTAGAGCACAGCCCTGAAAGTATAAAGAACAAGGCAAATACAAAAGAAAGGTGCAGACGGACAAACGTGAAGAAGATTGAAACGGATATTGCATTTGAAGGTTTTGAAAACTTGTTGGCCTAATGATTTTCTAAAGTTCATTTTTGCTGTTAGTGTTTAGAGTGATGGATGTAATGCACGTAGGAGGCATATCTTGTTGATCAAGGAACTGTGACTTTGTCATTTACAAGTGATTTCTTTGCTAACTTTAAGTTCCATAGCGCATTAAGGCTGGTTTTCACTAGTGACAGAGTCAGAGTCGTAAGCATATGTAGTGTAGTAAGTTGTAAGAGCACTTATGACTTAGTGGCCTAGTCATAAGTGGAATCATAAGCGCGAGGGCACCTGAGTCAGAAGAATCAGCATGTTTCCATTTTCTTCGGACTCCACTAACGACTTGGTCATTTACGTTCCGCTTATGATCCAGTGAAAACCAGATTGTTGGAGTTGGAAGCAGAGGCAGGAGGAAAATCTAATCATAATGCACGTTCCGACACTTTGTGATTGGTTTAGTTCTTCCACTTCTGCTTGTGACTCTAACTACCCAGTTTTCACTTTATTGTAAATGAAGGAGTCGTAAGTGGAATCAGAAGACTCAGAAAGCTGTTTTCACTAGATCATAAAGATCTACGCTTTTGATTACGACTCCAACTCCACCAGCCTTTAGGAAGCATAGTTGGCACGTGTAAACAAAATGAATCAAATAGCCATGACAAAGCCCCTTTAAATTTTTTCAGGACTGTCACAAGAAATTAATTGCTAATGCTGTGCCAGAGTAAATGCAATTAACATTACATGGATGGCATCAAGCACTGGCCCTTGGGATGAAACTGATGACAGTGCGAGCTATGATGCCCCTGCCGCAACAACCCGTCCTCCGAGGAGAAGCACACTCAGAGTGAGTCATCTGCATCAGCCTTACCCTCGGCCCCCCTCGCCCTCTCGGCATGCCAGCCGTACAGTGGCTTCAAGGCCAAGGACAGGTGGCATGGTGGTTGACAAAGTGGAGGACCTTGCTGCATCTTTGCAGGCTACAACAGAAGTGTTATCCACGGCAGATCGCATGCTAGAGCACTACAGAGACATAAATGTAGAGCAGGATGAGGAAATTGCAAAGGTGTGTCTGATGAAATAAACAGAGATTTTAATCTTAAAAAATTGCTGTCACAGAAACCTGCAAAAAGTTTGTTAAAAGTTTTGTTTTGTTCTGGAATTGCATAGTGTTTAGCAATTTGACTTAACAACAAGTAATGTGAAAAATATTCACAATCTTAAGTTGGTACAACAGTTATTTGACAGGCAGGTGACAGGCAAATTTGAGAATAAGAAAGTACCCAGTAATGAGTATATACAGTGTAAAAATGCAAGCTTGCAATCTGTAAGAAGAAAGACTAAAAAATTTTTCTTAGCTGAAATTGTGATGTTTTCTTTTATCCTAAGCTGCGTGCTGAACTTGAAAAATCTGCCAACATTCTGAGAAGAGAAAGGATTTCACGAAGAAGGCGTCTTCCTACCACTCCTCCGTCATCCCAGGTGAGAACAACTCATTTCTGTTTTTGATAAAATAAATGTTTCCGGTCATGTTTGGAACAATGAGTTGCCATCAGATGTTTAAAACAGATGTTTGAAACTGTTTTAAAAGAGTTTCACAGTGAGACAGAAACAGTTAGCACCTTGTCCTTTCTACATAAAAGAAAAGGTGTTAGCTGAGGGATTTTTTCACACTCATCAAATGAATCAAGAGCTATTTACAGGGCTCAAAAAAAAGTCCTATCCGGTAGTCCAGTCCAAGTCATTCTTCAACAAAATTCATTACTAAGACAAGTAAGAAGTGGCCCTGGGTTAGAAAAATGTGAGAGTTGGGAATTCCCATTTTTTAGCCCTGGAATAGAGGTCTATAGGAAGAGAGACTAGACCATGGAAATGATGGCACAATTTGCTTGTTTCCTTGTGTTTTACACACAAGAACACATTTATCAAAATCAACAGGCAGACATAAATCTACAGTGTAGTTTCTGAAACACCAAGGGAAAAATTACATGTAACCAGATCTGAAATCATCCATAGGCAATGAAATATCTTTTTACGACTAAAGGACTGGTGTAATTTGCATGACAAATATAGGGCGTTGTTTCTAACTCTAGTAAAGGAATTGCATGAAACAAAATTTGTTAACTGAAATGTTCATGTTGCTCTAATTGTCGCAAACTGTTGTAGTCTGTGTCTGAAGATGAGCATGCAAGACCTGTGCGAAAAAGTCAAAGGGGATCTGCTGTTCGGTTTGATGATGATGTTCGATCTGATGTAAGTTTGATCAGTATGTGACTTAAATATTTTGTTTTAAATTTGTTTAATGAGTTACAAGCAATGTACATTGCAAAAATCTGTTGACTACGGAGAGTCTATGATATTAGTTAAAAATCTATAACAACCCTACAGAGTAGTTTTCAAAGAGGATATTTCCAATAATTGGTTTTTCTATTTGAAAGTAATATTAAAAATCTTTTTATTGTGTTTTGAGATAAACAGTATTCAACTTTGGTAACTATGGATGAACGATTCAAAGATGTACTCTTGTTGTGACATCATGTTCATTGTTGAGACTTGATTTTTAGTGTTGATGGCATAATTTGTTTGGCAGTTTAATAATGGGTCTTAATTTGACACAAGATGAAAATACATAATTATCCTATGTTACAACTGTTTATGAATACCATCAAACATAATAAAATGAATAAACTAATCATATAATCCTAACTATCCTGTACTATTAAAGGTTTTGTTTAAATATTAGTCTATTTATAAAGGCAGACATGAAATGCTCAGTATTAATTTTAGGAGGGGCACATTGTTTTTTACAGAGATAATAAGAACAGACTTTCCTTGAAGGAATATATGGAGCTAGCGGGTGATTATTTATAGAAGTTACTTTCTTAAAAATTTTATAGTCTTGCTTCTTTAATAGATCCTTAATTGAAACGGGCAGTTTGACCTGTCTCTACAAAAAAGATAAAATTAATGCATAAAATAGCACTAGGACAAGGGTTGTTCTCAGGAATTTTCAAGGTTTGAATTTTGTCATGATCCATTTTTTAAGGTTGAGCATCTTAGGCAAGCTGTGAGAAACCTAAAAAGTGAACAGAATCGCTTGACAGGAGAGCTCGAAAGAGAAAGAGAAGAACGTACAAGGTAAGATTTCTTGTTTAAGCAGAAGGATTATTTTCAAGAAAGATTATGGTTAGGTGGCAAAGTCTGACTGTTTGGACTAAGTGACTGCATTAAACGATATTTAGAAATGATGAAAAGGCATAAAACATTAAAACTATTATTTAAATAAAAGTTTGGAAAAGTATATAGAGTTGTGTTGAAATTGTTCAGAAAGTTTTGCTTAAAAAACGTTTTGGTATTGTTCTAGTAATTAGACCAATAATAAATTCTTGTTTTCAAACTGGAGGAGGGGTTGGGGGGATGGCTAGGACCTAGCATTGAACAACTAGATAAAATTAACTTGTTTTTTTTAGATGATTTTCCTTTTCTGTAGCATATTTTAATCTTGAACTTCTTTTGCTGAACAGACTTGATGGTGATACTTGGGGTGTACCCAGACATGACCAGGGAGCTCCAATTGGACTCCCAGGTGCGTAGAATGTAAACGTTCACTTCTTTTTTAGTCATAAACTACAAACTGAAAGCTATACTTGTCTCATAGTTAACTCCTGCACAGTTTTTCAAATTGAAACACCTACCAAGATAGATTGCCATCTATTTGGAAGGTGCTTTATAATAAAAAAATTGTCTTTCTGATTAAGGTCACCTTTTGTTCTGAAGTCTCTTCGACAGATTACTGATAAAACATGTTGCTTAGCTTACAAAAAGGGCACTGAGAACTCTCTTATTCTCACTTTGGTTCCAGTATTGTTTAAATACCTACACTTATAGTCAGACATTTGTATGTTTGTTTAGCTATAAAACAGAGGCAGTCAAGTAAAGAAATGATCTGGTGTCTTAAGCACCTTCTTACATACAAAAATTGTTGTCTTATTTACAGGGGTTAGTGTCAGAGCTGGTTTAGAAGAGAGGTACTTGAACTTTTATTCAACTTTAATACACGAGCTGCATTTGTAGAATGGGGCCAAAAATGATCATTATTAAAAGTAATTATTATAACCTGGATTTTTTGCATCATTTCTTAAATAATGCAGTGTTTAAAGTATTCCTTTTGATTCTTCTTTCACCAGAGAAAGACTTCTCAATGAGCTTCGTGAAACAGAGGAAGCTAGCAGGCGTCAGGCTGAAGTTCTTGTGAAGGTTAGTTTGGTTAAAATTTTGAGGCTGGTGCTGCACTAGGCATGATAGTGGTGCAAGAAAGGTTTGTCATGGGAATATAAGTGTGTACAATGGTAAATGATAAATGGGTTCGATCAGTCTTAAAAGTCCTGGCAGGGGTGTTAGGCTCCTGGTCCTGGAATTACTTAAGAGGTCCCTGAAATGTCCTTGAATTCAAGGGTGCAAAATAAAATAATTTGAGGTGTTAACCACAAAAGGTAGCAGAAAATGCTTGCATGTCATTCTACAAGCAAATGACCAGAAGTTGTACGCACATGTATAATTTCCATGCCCTTGTGCATTTTGCATGGATTTTTGTCACACAGAGCTGTGAAATTTTATGGCGCTGTGTTGTGTGCGTTGAGAATTTGGCGAAAAGGGTAAATTTTATTCCTCATATTATGTGTCACCTTTAGTGTAAGTGATTTACCAGTCTGAGTAGCTGCTCTGCATTTGTTATGTCATAAATTTGCTTAAACCTCGTAGGAACTTGCAGTACCGCTTGAGAGAATCTGAGATGATAATCCAGGGGCGGATCCAGGAATTTTTAATGTGGGGTGGGGGGGTCCCAACTTTGGTTCAGAAAGGACTTTTTTGTGGTAAATTGCTTCTCTCCTACACTCCCCAGGCCCACACGCCATTCCACCAGTCGCGGTTGCACGTTGTCATTCCTTGGCCCCTTAGCGTGTGCTGCTTTGGGAGCAGAGGCGAACAGATCATAAGAGGGTACCCAAAAACAATTACATTTTTTAATTTACAGGGAATTTAGTTTAGTGGCAAAATGTAACGCGCGTTTCATTAAAAAATTTGCTAGTTAAAGTGTTATACGATCCTGTCGATGTATGAATTTCAGTCTCAAACACAACCTCGTTCCCAGGGTTATCTCCTACCCGCCCTATAGGTAGGAGAGAACCCTGGGAATGAGGTTGTCTCAAACAAGGGTCAAGTCTGCTGGGGGGGTCCTAACCCCCCTGATCCGCCATTAGATCACCACTGTAATCTTGTCCTGGGGAGAAAAAGTCTCGTTTGTCGAGATGAGAGTCTCGTCTTGCGAGATGGTTGAAATACTGTAAGTATCAAGCGTCTTCAGAATGTTTCCGGACTCAGCCTTCACAGCATCAGCATAAAGCCAATGAAGTATGCTATGTTCTGTTAATTAAAAATTACTATTGGAGCGAAACATCACGCATACTATAATCTTGCAGGGGCTGGATGCAGAGCGTGATGTTCTACGTGAAAGTCAAAGATTAGCTTCAGAAAGAGATCGGGAACTTGAGTCATTAAGGCAGCAGGTAAGGTTTACCTCTAAATAGTTTTGGCAAAATAAAAAGTACAGTCTTGGAAGCCAAGGATAGGAGTAAATTACATTTCTTTCATCATTTGTTTAATAGTACAATGTAGCTGGCCAAGGAATGCGTTTTTTGAACAGAGCTCAGATACTTGTCATCTACACTGATGATTCCATTAAAATCGTTCTAAATTTGCCTTGATTAATAACGTTGAGAACCGAGTCAAATTTAGTGACATTTGTGTCGAGTCATTAGAGCATAACTTGACTGATATATTGGAGACAATTTGCCCCGTAATGCTAGTTTTTGGCAAGTAGGCCTTTTGGATGCTATTCTTTTACAATATCCTGACAAATCCCATAATTTCATAAATATAATTTTCATGTCATCTACTCTATTTTAAACATAAATTGGTTAGTACCCCACTGGTAACTCAGGCTCTGTGATTACAGATTACGGTTACTGTAAAATTACAGTCACTGTGTTTGTATGGGGTAAAAATACGATCCCAAAATTTGAAGGATATCGTGAAAAAATGTTGTGTTAGAAGGGGAGCATGACGGCCGAGATACCATCTCGTGCCTCCTGCTTTGTGTATTATATTGTATGGAGGGTGAGTTTGAGCAAATTATCACGAAAATTCGTTTGAGCATTAAGGACAACAACAACTAACTGCCATACAAACACCGTATGAAACCGTATTGTGGTACTATCACAGAGCCTGGGTAACCTGTGGTACCCGTCATTTCCAGGGGCTTGTTAATGGTTGGGCACCTTGAGAATGAGGTCTGTTGACCCCCTCATGTTTTTACAGTTGCAGGCCAATCAAAAAACCCAACAAGATGAAATCGAAAACAGACTTAAAGAAATACAACAAGAGGTAAACATGAATAACCAATACCTATTCTGTGAAATTTTGTTTTTCCAACCAAGAAAATGTCGAGAGTGGCATCTCAAAGTTAAGTGCTATGCTTAGTATTCCTTTTCACACTATGCTTAGTGTTACTGACGAATATCGCATTTCCCCTTCCAGCAAGAGGCGTTCCCGCCACCCGTAACATCAATATGTAGATTTTCAAAGAGTCAATGAAGCGCGGCACTCGGCTTCTTCGCTCTCTTTAACGTTCAAAATTTAAAAAAAAGCAGTGAATTGGACAATAAACAGTCAAGTCCCAAAAGATTGGTTCATATTTTCTGTCAGCAGTGAATCCTAATTGAGTTTTATCTAGTCTGTGTTAGCCTGCAGAACTGGCACTATTTTTTTTTTTGCGTTTTTCATGCGAGCGAAGGCAAGCGCGAAGCGAACAAGGAGTAGCAGACACCATCGTGCTTGTCTGGCGCTCCTCGCTCGCTTCGCGTTTGCCTTTGCTCGTCTAAAAAACGCGAAAAAATATCGTCTGTTCTGCAGGCTAAGTCTTTGTCAAGTTAAAGCTGGTTTCCACACAAATACGATGGCTGCGATTGCTCATAGGCAAACTAGAAAAAAAGTTAAAAAGGCAAGGATCGCTGAAATAAACTTCTGTTCTGATTAAAACATGATTGCTACTATCGATCAGATCGCTGGGGAAAAGTTCAGCGACCGGAAACCAGCTATTACGCTCTATACATATTTACTTACAGTTACTTGAAATTACATTACATTTTAAAGATCAGATATAACGCGCATTCTGATTGGTTGAAAAAGCATGCTTTATCAGAGTATAAAACACGGAACTAAAGCTGTCGCGCCACCTGCAAATAGTTTGTTTCGAAAGTAACGCGTGGGGAATTTAACAGATTCTTTATCATAAAACAAATGAAGAAGCTTTGACTGTGCTCTGTTCTGTTGTAAAACACTTAGGAAGCGGCTACAGCACTCAGAAGGTAGAGGGAAACACTCGACTACGTAACGTGCTTCCCCCTGCACCTCTTTCGTGCCCTAGCCTCTTCCTGCGTGCTTTACAACAGAACAGAGTGCAGTCAAGGCTTCTTTATTTGTTAATTACATCACATTGCATTACGTTACATTACTGAATATTGTTAGGTGATCATTACCCTTAAAGTCTCAGTTGTAATCGACATCTAAACAGTAATTCTCTTTATATGAACAATGCAAAATTTAAGCAGTAAGTTTGTGAGAATTAAGGAAATTATTACCTGATCTGAAGACACATTATTTTAATACCTGATAATAAAGAAAGTGTACCGTATCTTGACGATATAACTTAAATTTTAAAACTAGTACCCTGTACGCATGCATCATTTTTCACTATCCATCCACAATTGTTCACTGTCCATCAATCCATTTTCCTCTCCATAACCCTACATGGCGTTCAGTTGTTTCGCTACAAAGTCTGCCTCCTTTTCCTGTATATATATGCGCTTCGTGTTGCGAACAACGGCGAGCGCTAAAAGGAAGTAATAAAGACATTTCGCTAATTTAAACTATGAAATCTGTGGTTATCGCTCGTTCGATATAAAAATTTAGCCGCATTGTTTGTGTATAAAGAGGTGAAGTATCATCTCATTATATCTACTTAAAACAGTAGCGAATCGACTGACAACAGGTAGCGAAATGACTTTGTAGCAAAACGACTGGTAACTTCTGGCATTGTGACCTTGGGACTATATTTATTGTGTGCGATTGTCAGATGAGAGCGGAGCGAGAATCGTGGGAGAAGAAACAGAGAGAAGTCGGTCAACTCGCCACCGAGTTACAAAATGTCCGGGTAACTAAACGTTCTTCATACGTACTAAAACATTCTTTTCTTCTGCAATAACGTGCTTGTTGAGCCATTTAAGTGTTCAAAACTAATGATAATCTTTAATCTAAACATGGTAATCTTGATTAAAAAGTTTACCCTCAGTATGGATTAATACAACCTAACTTTCAATTAACACCCATTTTAACGTCGCGGAGCTTTCTTGCTCATAATTTTATTAATTACTGACAATCTGAAATATAACCACTTGCTAACTCCGTTGTTAAGCAAACTTATCCAGACTAATCCTGCAAATAACCGTCAGGCTACTTTGCGCTATATGTTATTATGAATAGATTTAAAAACTTTTCTAACCTCTTCTATAACCCAATCCAAAAACCGTCATTCCTCCAAGGTATAGTTGTTACTTTGAAATCTAAAGTGGTTGTTTATCTCTTTAGAATTTAATAGGTGAAGCGAATGAAACTAAACTAAGGGAAGAAATCCGTTCTGTTGCCAGGTACGCATTCCTCATAAGGATTATCCTCTTTTTAGAGGAAAAATTCCTCGACGAAAGTCTGATTTTTTTAAAGTGGAAACGTGGGAAAGGATGTATGGGATTTGTAGTCAGTGTCACTATTTGATAAATTTTTCTTTAAATAGTAACTTTTTCAATTGTTTTGAAAACACCCTAGCAAACATATTTTGGCGTGGACAATCATGCAGTTTGAGCTTCTGCGTATCATTTTTGTAACTTTTTTCTCGGTTGAGCTTACATCATTGAAGAAATGAAGTTAACTGGCGAAGATAGCATTGAAAACGTGCGTGGTATCAGAACAAAATGTTCGAAGAGCTTCTTGACAAACAGTCTCAATACGTTGCCATGGTTACAACCGGAGTTTCCCGCCAAAATGCAGAGTTCTGGGGCATGTGATAATCGGGAGCTTTAGCAACGGTGACGGCAGCGAAAACGTTCCCATTAAAGAGTTTGCGTCACGGTTTTTGCAAACTTTGTTGCGATTACTTTAACTGTCTTAAAATGTCAAATGCTGCTAAATTTCCCTTACATTCTGAGGGACTTAACCTAAGTTAAGAATGAGAAAGAAAACTTCGTCGTGGTGTATTTTATACGTCCTTCGTAAAACGGTGTAGTCGTGCAGTGTCGGCAAAGAAATGTTCAAAAAGGTGTGCTGCACTTGCAGGGCTGTTTCTTCGCTTAGTAATCAGTTGCTTTTTTGACGTCCTCGTTGCTGCCTTCGTCGTTGCTAAAATAAGCTCCCTATTCGGTTCAAACCCGAGGTTCGCGTAATATACATGTAAGTTGTTTATTTATTTTTGCACAGTGAACTGGATTCTGAACGGCGAGCTCTGGAGGACAGTGAACGAGAAAAGAGATTACTTGCTTCACGCGTGGAGGATTTGTCAGGGAGACTGGAACTAGCTGAAAGAGAACGCAGGGAGGTAGGGACGTGATTAATCACTTAACAGGAAACCCTATCATTTAACGTATAGAGCGCTTTCACATGACGTCACGGCGGCCATGTTGGTGTTCCAAAACAATGAAACGGCCGCCAATAAATTTGCCTAGATGCTGGCCACGTGAGTGAAAACGCCGTATACTGTAGAACTGAAAGGTGCCCATCGAGTCTGGGACAATAATTAGGGACTTTAAGATCCGACGCGGACTGTAACGAGAACGTCAAAAAAACAATAGGTTTTATTAGCAAAACAACAACTTTGCACGTGCACCATGCTTTTTTTGTACATTTCTCCGTCCGTTTTTGCACGACTACGACGTGAACATGCCTAATTTCGCGTCTTATGGAGGACGTAAACAAGCAACGACGAAATTTTATTTCTCTTACCGCACTTGGATATGGTGCCTAGCAATTCAACTCCAGGAGGGTTCGCCTACATTTGACAAAGTGAGTGGGGGCAATAATTCCGATAAAGACTGAAAGAACGCAAATTCACTTGTTAAGCGACGTTCTCAATGCCGTCGCGTCGTTGGATCTTAAAGTCCCTATTCAAACATGAAATCGGGACCCTAGCGGCTAGGGCGGGGCATGAATTCGGCACCTCCGGATTGCACGTCCAGCGTGTTAACCGCTCAGCTGTGCTGCCTCCTCCCTTATAAGAGTGATACGTTATGGGCAAATACAAAATAAGATCGACTTAAGGGAGGTTTTGTGAGCCCGAGAGACTAAGCAACCCCCACAAGCCCTTGTTTTCACTAAAACCGCTGTACACAAAACCTCCCCTTTGTCGATGTTGCATTGTCACAACCAGGAGTTTCAATAAGCACCGACGAAATGCGTGGGCTACATTGCTCAGAGAAGTCGACTCCTTTTTCCTCCGAAGAAAAAGCAACTAGTTTGAATAATGTCATGAACAAAAATAGAATTTGTTCACGCGGAAATGTATGTAACTTAGTATAATTATCATTTGTTCATTGCTTGCAGGAGTTAATTGTGTGGCTGATAAATCAAAATTTGACTGAACCCCAAATCTTCTTGAATGGAAAACTCGCTCTTTTATACCCAGTTTAGTCCCCTAAACGCTGGAAATCGCTTATTAGGGCTTTGCAATTTTAAAATTTTCTGACGGAGCATGCCCCCAGACACCCCTTGAAAACGTGGACTGTTGATACAGTAGGTTACTCTATTCAAATCTGCTGGCTACTTAAATTTTTATTGAAACCCATGGTCACAACCTACGTTATTTCGGGCCCCTGTTCCGTACATCCTATTATAACTTGGGTGAAAAATGCTACGCCTGTTATGACAAATTGGCAAGTAACGAAAGCAATCAGTGTGCTTATACTTGTTTGTGGCAAACAGTAACGTTCTGTGGTATTAAAAGCGGATAAAGGTATGTTGTTGAGCGTTGAAGTCTGCGTTTTGTGCCTGTAGGATGTTCAGCAGACTGATATTCAGTTTTGAATAATACTTACCATGAAATAGTTGAAGAAAGGCTCAGTATTTTAATCGTCATGGCTCGTTGGTCGCATGGACTGGCTTTTACTTTACTTAACACGCCAGCTTGCAATCCATGCGTTGTTATGCCAACGGAATTGACAGCTTTGTGGAACTCCTAGGTCATGGCTGAATTAGATGCTGCAACAAAGAGACTGGACCAAAGTGAAGGTGGAAAAAATGCACTTGTGGACCAGGTAAAGATGGTTACTGTTGCACTTTAACATCGAGTGGTTCGACGCTGTTTCTTTACGTTTTAAAAAGTTCTCATATTCCGCCAATTGGCCATTTCCAAGTTGCCCCAGGCCTCTGTTTTAAAACTAGGCTAAATGCGAAGCCATTGATATGATGAAGCGATTTTCGTATGACCTTGAAATGAAACGAGTGAACAGAACAGCAACAAACAAACAAACGGAAATAGAGCGATTTGATTGGTTTATCGAACGGATACAAACGTGCGCGGCTTTCGGTTGGTTAAGCGAACGCTGGGGTGAAAAAACTTCATGCCCGAGAACTTTCTAGAAATCAATCGATTCTTTGCTTTGACGCCATACTACAACACGATTGGCCAATCGAACAATGCCTTCTCCATATTAGGGTTTTCTTTGGCGGGAAAACGACGAGTCTATGTTTTGATCCTAACGAATAACGTTCACTTACCGAAAACATTTTTCAAGGTCATACGAAAATCGCTCTAACATCGAGTAGATCAAACGCTTTTTCTTTACGTTTTACTGAAATAGTTCTCATATACAGCCAATTGGCCATTTCCGAAATGCCCAAAGCCTCTGTTTTAAAACGAGGTTAAATGCGAAGCCATTGATCTAAAAAATGATTTTTTTATTTGAGAAAGATGTTTACTCAGTCAGTGACACAGGCGGCTCAAAAATTCGAGCACTCCCAACTGGAGTCCGACCTATAAAAAGGAAGTCCCTGGAGTAACTGTAGAAAACTCAACGACTTTCAAAGTGTCTCTTTGAAAGAGGTGACGACAGCACGTTGAAGCGCTGCGCGCGAGTGCGTATTCACCTGCGTTAAGTGTTTGCTTTCAGTGGCAGGGTTTTCTGCAGTTAAGCTCAGACATTTTCCAACAACAGCAACTTCAAATTCTACTGAAGGCCCTCTTACCTGTGGCCCTGTTGCTCACGTTGTTGTATGTCATGGCTGGACACTTACGTAACGTTTTTAATCTACTCTCAAGGCAGAACAATTACGTCAACAGTTTTCACGGGCCGAAAACGAAAAAAATGAGCTGACTAAAAAATTGGAAGAAGCACAAAGTAAATTTGAAGAAAATGAAGCAGCTCGGAAACGACTTCAGGGGCGATTGGAGAGTCTGAGCCGGCAGATGGAAGAAGGACAAGGGGATCGTGAGCGGCTAGTGGAACAACTTGAAAACCTTAGGGCACAGGTGATAGGATCATTTGTCACTTAAGAAACGAAAAGGAAACTGGATGGAGTTATCTTTGCAAAGACTTCTGGGACTGTCACTAGGGACAGGAGAAAAATTGGCCAATAGCTAAACGACGTGGCCCTGGTAACGATCCCAGAAGTCTTTGCGAAAGCTAACTCGACCCATTCCTTCTCATTTCTAGAGTGCAGGCGTTCCAGACCTACTCATGATTTTTTCTAGTTATCCTATATTTTGTAAGGATTCTATAAACAGCCTATATCTCAAGAAATCCTCCTATATTTCCTATAAATAGGATATCTGCATTTTGCACCGTAAAGTAACTTTGTTGTGAATTAACAAAATCAAAATTCTTTATCAGTAAAAATAGTATCTTTTAAATTTTTAAATTTATTTTTTTCCTATAAAGAGCCTATATTTTGGCAGAAAATTTCTATATTTTCCTATATTTTGCACTTGAACAGCCTGTTTTTCCTATCAGATTTTCCAAAAAGTGGCTGGGATGCTTGAAAGTGGCGAATTGTAGTTAAAAACTTGAAAACCTTGGGGATAGTAACTAATTCACATTCGCATAAAAGCCACCTGATGCCTCTTGATGAACAAGTTATGGGTGAAAAAATTTTGCACAAGGCGTAGGGTCAGTGAGCTGATAGAGGAAATTTGTCAGTGCCGCTGAAGGGGAAAAGGGTGGAGAAACTTGCTTGCCCTTTGTTGAGTAGACTTGCGAGAAGAGAACGAATTTTTTTGCAAGGGCTTATAAAAGGCCAGCGCCAGGAGAATTTCCCTGGGAACCGTATAGGGCCACCATAGGGCCTTACAAGGGAGCACGCAGTTATTTAGTTTATTAACTCGTCTTGCGGAGGCTTTTACGCGAATGAGAATAGGTGAGAGGTTCATTGTAGTTAACAACTTGAAACCCTTAGGGGACAGGTCAGAAGTTCATTGAAGTTAGCGACTTGAAAACCTTAGGGGACAAATGAGAGGCTCATTGTAGTTAACAACTTGAAAACCTTAGCGGACAGGTGAGAGGTTCATTGTAGTTAACAACTTGAAAACCTTAAGGGATAGGTGAGAGATTCATTGTAGTTAACAACTTGAAAACCTTAGGGGGAGGTGAGAAGTTCATTTTAGTCAACGACTTGAAAACCTAGACTGTTCACAGTCCCCTATTTTTCCGTAAGATCGTCGAGATCGGGCGCTTTGCGTTCCGGGCTGCCATCTTGCATGAGTGTCAAAACTACTTAGGGGGCGTGGGCGGTTTGGGAGGAAGCGAGAAAAATAGAGGCCCTCTATTTTTCTTGCCCCCTCCCCCTACAGCTATAATCCCCGTCGCCCGCCCCCGTGGTACTTTTGAAACTCAAGATGGCCGCCATTAGCGTAAAACACGCTATATCTCAACGATCTCACGAAAAAATAGGGAACTGTGAACAGTCTATTGAAACCCTTAGGGGATAGGTGTGAGGTTCATTGTAGTTAACAACTTAAAAACCTTAGGGGACAGGTGACAAGTTCATTTTAGTCAACGACTTGAAAACCTTAGGGGATCAAGTGGGAGGTTCATTGAAGTTGGAAACCTTAGGGAACCGGTGAGTGGTTCTTTGAAGTTTACAACTTGAAAACCTAGGGGGTAGGTGAGAGGCCTTTGCGGTTAACAAACTAAACAACCTTATTTTCAGGTTGCAAAATCTGAGCGAGAAAAGGATGAGATCATGCAACAAGTAACAAGACTAACTCGGAACGCTGCTCAAAGACGTCAATCATTCGGTCCAACCGCTTCGTCTCAGTTCAGGAGAAGCCTGGGGCGAACTGAGGGGCCTGGAGGCGACTTCGCGTCTGAAATGAGAAGGAACCTGGACCGATTTGAGATGGAACAGGATCTGGATCGGAGGCACATGGGCGAGTCATTTTACGATGGACTGCCCGGCAGAAACTTCAGGGGAGGGGATGGTGGCGGAGGGGACAGGTAAGTTATGGATATTAGGCAAATAACCAGGAGCTTATAACCCGGAGAGAGCTCTACTCCCATACTAGACCTACGTTACGGCATTTTCATGAACGGTTTATTTTTAGAAACCACTTTTTCCCACGAAAATGGAAGCTCCGCTCTTTCTATGTGCTCATTAGTAGTGTGATAGGAGGGCGAAGCTAAGAATTTTCTAGAGGTACGCATTGAATCGATTAAATTTGCGTTCATGAATAAGTACAGTGAGGTAGCTCTTTCTTTTGTGTAGGGTCGTGTTCTGCAGGCAACAGTTGTCGCCTTTGCTTCTGGCAATGTCAGCACTTTTTTCATTTGGAAGCAGCTAAAGCAGAGTGACATAGGCGAAGATATTTCCTTCAGCAATCGCTTTTTTTGTCTTCTGTTTATTCTTTTGCTTTGTTTGTTTTTCTATTTTGTTTTTGGTTTCTTAAATTTCGACATTTCTCTAGGTACGCACGTGCATAGTAGCGTAAACGTCCCCAATGACGTGAAAGAGAAAATTGATGTCATTAAAGCGTCAAAGACTATCCTTAGGTTTGGCTGACTGGTTTGTGGGACTTAAACGACATTCTCAATTCGCGCCAAATTGTTGTAAAAATAAAATGTCTGTCAAAACACAGTGACCCAACTACATACTTTCTCCGGGCTATGAGCTTAAGGCGTTTCAGAAGGAAGGGAGTGTTAAAAACAATTAAGCTACAAGATTTGTTTAACAGTCGACAAGGACGATAGAATATTTACATGCAATTGATCTCAAAAAACCTTTACTCTGGCACCCTGTTCATGACCCATGTATCCTGTGTAAGTTCGCCTGTATTATCAACTATAGGCCACTTCCGAGTTTCAAAAACTCTCACTTTCAAAACGAGACTAGGTGCGAAACCGAGTTTTATTGGCACGAAAATAAAAAATCATATTTGTATCGGTAGCTTTGCACTTAACCTCGCTTAGAAACAGGGGGTTGGGCCAACTCAGAAATGGCATATTTTGGTGCGAGGCTGCACGCGAAAGAACTTCGCTAGTTTGTTAGTCCACTTGATGGTACTGCTAAAGAGCTTTCATGTGAATGGCTACACCATAACATTTCATCCACAGACTTAAAAAGTTAGAACTGTATACTGAATGGATAGTACTATTTGAGCGTACTGACGAAGAGGTTTTGTTTGAATAGCTTCCTCCATAGAAACAAAAGTTCAAATTTCATTACACCACAAAAGAGGGATTTTACGCACTGATATAGAATTACTTTTCCTTGTAGAATTGAACTACTAAACAGTTTGGAAGCGCTGCACCAAGACATGGATCGAAAGGACGAGCAGCAGGAGCGGTTACTCAGCCAGATGAGAGATTTACTGTCCAAGTACGAAGAGAGCGAGGAACAAAAGAAACGATTCGCGACCGAGTTGGAGACTGTTACCAAGAAACTTAAGGAGGCTACGAAAGATGTGCAAGAACTTGAAGGACAGCTAGAAGACAAAGAGAATCAGCTGAGAGAGAGCGACAAGAAAAGAGCTGAGCTGAGGAACAAAGCTGTTCAATCCATTAAAGAGTAGGTTCCTTGTGGTTTTGACAGACTCTAATACGCACTAATGGTCTGTGGCGTCCCTACAAGTTTGGACGGCTCATTTTAAAGCTAAACTTAGGCGGCTTACCATTTGTCAGAACTGGCCGGCTAGACCAGTCCAGTCGCAATGACCATTCCAACTATAAACAGCCAGCAAGATTAGCCTATTTCTAAATAGTATGCGCGGCAGAATCGGATTGTACTTTCAGTGGTTGCGGTAGGGAGCAAATTTAAGCAACGACGTTGACAACGTCAGGGAAAAAGTCGCTTAAAAAACAGAATTTGCGTCCTTTCAAATTTTATCGCGTCTATTTGGACGCGCTCAGTTTTTCAAATGTAGACAATTTTTCCTGGAGTTGAATCCTCCCATGGAATAAGCGCCGAAATTCGTTTGAATTCTTTTTCTAGAAAGGACTTCAAACAAAAAATCCAATCTGAATGAAAACGTGAACGTGTTATCGTAAAGTCCCACGTTTTACAGAGAACGCTATATTTCAGTCAATTTTTCACAAGTTTCTTACAGTTGGTTACTCTATTCAAACTTGCTGGCTACTTCAATTTTTATTGAAACCCCTGACTTTCAAGAAGGGTTCTTTTAGCTTTGAATGAAGTGATTCAGATGGAGTTCCTAGTGAAAGGGAAACTTCTCGTCTACCCTTCCCTAAGCCAACATTAACACTTAAATCTCACTTAGGGCAAAATGCTGACTTAGGGGAGGGGTAGGTTGACAGTTTCCGAGAAAAGTATAATGATCCGAAATCTCTTGGAATCTTGCACCTCCACCCCTAAACTCATTTTTATTGCTCAGTAAGTTCAAGATAATAGGAGTGCTATTGAACGTTGTGCTCGGTCAAATCTTAAAAAGCCTACAAAAACAAATTACAAAGAAGTCTGTACGCGCTTCATAACCATTGAGCTTTATTGACTATACTGTTACTCGTATTGTTTTCTATGTTCCTAGATATCGTACAAAATGCAAGAGACTGGAACGAGAAGCTGAACAGGGTCTTCAAGTACATGAACCAGTGGTTGGTATAAGTTTTTGTTTGTTTGGTTGGTTGTGTGTTTGTTTGGAGGCTACAGGATTTTTTCTGCCACGCTCTCCAACCCCTTTCCTCCTCCAATATACGTTTAACAGTCCTTGATGTTTAAAAGGTTGTTGCCCTTTACAAAGAGTATATAATTATGGCAACTTGTTGGTTCAAATTGTACACAATACCTGTTTAATGTGCTTGCGAGATGCTTGTAATTTAGGGTGTTGCGTTGATCAGTGTTCAGTGTAATGTCCTGTGACTTTCCTAAGCCTGCCAATAGCTTACCATTAGGAGTCGCTCACGAAACGAAGAAATATTATGTCGCAGATGAGAGAACAACAGACGCGTTCTGTTTACATTATAACTTGCTCACGGTGAGCTCAGACAGACGTCACCATAACCCATAGCTCAGTGTTTAGCTTGTCTAACCATAAATTGACTAGTAGCTGGAATTTCATGGGTTCCCTGATTTCCATTGGGACTTCTTGATTTTTCCAAGCATATTTTCACATGTGCCTAATATCTATTTCAGTTTCATCGCATTGGGTTGTTAATTAAGTCAAAAGTAGCGTTAAAAAGAGAGACATGAATAGACCGATCACTCAGCTACGCTGCCCTTGAGTGCCACTATTCATAACAATCATAACATAACAATAATGTTATTAATTTATGACTTCTTGGTTCTTTTAATTATAAAGTATCTCTGCTTTCACAAATACAGTCGAACCTGCACTAACGGCTACCTCTCTTCAACGGCCACTTTTGTGGCGGATAGTCCATACATTGACTCTTGTTTAAACCTTTCTACAACGGCCACTTTCTCCTGTCTCCTTGGTGGCCGTTGTGGAGAGGGTCAACCGTACAGCGAGTCATTTATTAATGAATTCTCGTTATAACCTACACTCGTGCCACTAATTGTTCTTTACCGTGTCAGTCTTGTCAATCCTCGATCCTCTCACGTGAGACTTGTCTCATATTGGGTTGTTCATTACAGAGGGAAATGAAAGAAATAAAAGAGTTACGCTCTAAAGTGGCCAAACTAGTGTCCAAACTCCAAGAGGAAGCAGAGCATCGACAGGTGAGTACAGGGGAATGGGACTAGTCTTTGAGAGACAAGCAAGCTGGTGACGCAAGGGCAATAGAGCTTTCCGTATAAACGGCACGACGCGGCTTAGCTAAGACGCGTCTTATTAGATAAGACATGCTCGTATAAATGGTACAGTTCGCGCCTTATTTTTCCTCGTATAAATGGCCCTAATGTGAAACTGTATCCTCCACTTTGCAAAAATATTAAAACTTCGTTTTCTTGATTTTCATGTGATATTGTAAAAGGCTAGGAAATATATACTTAGGTCAGATAAAGAGATTCTGCAGAGTAAATTCAAGAAATTCTTGGGGAATAAACTGCAGTGTTATAACGATGAAAGGGGACTACAACATCAAATCTTATGTCACGACCGGCGTACTGTACCCAATGAGTTTTTTTTCTTTATCCAGTTTGTTGTCTTTTTAATTTATACAATTCTCTCCTTCCAACAATTTTTTTTTTCAAATCATGTTTCAAGTTAATAAATCAACGTGATTTGTTATCATGAAACAAGACCCTCGGCCCTCGTTGAACTACTCTTCCACAGAACTAAAAAGTCAAAGTACGTTACAAGCCTCATGTTTTCCCTCGCTGTTGCTCACGTTTTTTTTTTTAACTTCATTATATACAAAATGTGATTCATCAACCTAGGCCTGGTCACTACTCACTAAGCAAACAAACGGTATTATTTTTTTCGTGCGACCAAATCAGCTAATTTTTTGTTGCATGTAGAATGTCTAAATCTGGACGTATTGTTTCCATTTTAATCTTCAGAATTACGAGGAACGTATTTTGGAAGCGAGACAACAGGAAAGAGCCACAAAGGAGGAAGCAGCCTCACTATATGCTCAACTACAACAAGTATGTTGACATCGTCATGGTTTCCTTTTGCAATTTCACTTAATACATTTGCTTGGCTTGCTTTACAATTAAACCTTTCTCGCACAATAGCTTTTAGATCTAACTGCTTATCGCAATTCAAAAAAACATGGGACAAACTTCTTTAGATACGTGAATGCTAGTGTCATTTCCTCCAAGCTACACTTTACTGCTATACTGTTTCACTTATCAGGTTTGCGTCTTTTTCCTTTGAATTTAGTTTGTTTGTTTGTTTGTTTGTTTGTTTTTTTTTCGTTACAAATTTAGTTTGTTTTTTGCCATATAGATATATATATTTTCATAGTTAAAATAACAAGTATTTGTAATTAATTTTTTTCTTGTCAATAAAAAAAAAAATATAAAAAAAAAATAAAAAAAAAAAAATTACGAGGAACGTATTTTGGAAGCGAGACAACAGGAAAGAGCCACAAAGGAGGAAGCAGCCTCACTATATGCTCAACTACAACAAGTATGTTGACATCGTCATGGTTTCCTTTTGCAATTTCACTTAATACATTTGCTTGGCTTGCTTTACAATGAAACCTTTCTTATTATTAAGTCAGTTTTAAGGTGGACATGAGCCTCCCTAAGTCTCAAAGTTTTCTTCCATTTCTTTTTTGTCAAACAAATGTGTGTTTGGCTTACACTTCTGTTAAGGCGAGGGTTACTGTACTATATGTTCATTGTTGGTTCTTTAAAACGCGAGATCTCGCGTAGCTTCCTCTTCCGCACGTGCTTGGATTTTTCCTTTCTAACCCGTATATCTTAAAAAGAGAGAGAGAGAGAGTAACGGTTGAAGATTCATCTGTTACAGGAACGAGACGCTCATACGAATGCTCTGAGGGAGCTTGAGGAACAGATCCAGGCCCTCACGGTTGGTTCCACTTTGCTACTCAAACCCTTAATATTTTGTAAGGTGGCTAAATGTTAAAATGGTGTGAGGGTTAGGGTAGAGACATTTGGGTCTTGGTTCTCGTCTTAACATTCACTTCAGAGAGCTTTAGATTTGAGGATTAGAACGAGTACGAGATTTATCTTAAAGTTTTTGCGCATGCTCTAAAAAAAATCACCCCGGAAAGCTTCATTTTACTATTTTTTTGCCAAAAAGAGTTAGTACGGTTATTTATACTGGAGGAGGTTAAACCTTCTTCCGAAAGCAAAATGGTAAAACTTCTTACATTTGATTACTTGTTCCCGCCACTACGACATTCTCGCTAATACTCGTAGTTGTATGACGACGGCTGTCACGTTTTCCCGCCAAAATGACGCTGGTTCACGCGCGTGCACTACTTAGTATTGAGAAAATCTCGTACCCGTAGTTGTCCTCGTCCTCGAATCTAGAGCTCTCCATTGTTAGTCATTAACAAAACAGAGGAAATCGCTACCATGACTCAGGGTATGGATACAAATTACCATTTTGGAAATTCTAGCTCTGAATTTCTACAAAAATTATTAACAATCTGAGAAGCTATATCAAACACTCGACTCAATTTTCCTATCAGATATGCGGACTCCTCGAAAACTTTTTGATAGAATCGGCTGCCCCCGTCCCCCCTTTTTTTTTCTATGCGATGACTGGACATCAGGCTCCAGTTGTTCAAAAGCTGAATATCACAATCTACCGGATAAATCACTATCTAGTGAAAAGTATTAGAGAAAACCAATTGCCCTATCCAATGGACAGTGATTTATCCCAGACGTTAAAATGAGTGCGGGGAAACGTTATGCTTGGTTAACAATCCCCTGTTTTGTGGCTACACACTATTTTTCTTTGTTTCTTTGTTTTTTTTTTTTCTTCACTTATTTCTACTCAACTGTTCTTCCTCAGGCTAATCACGAGCTAGCTCTTCAAGACGCAGCTAAAAAGGCTAATAAACAGAGAGGAGAAATAGAAGAGCAAATCGCAGACATGAAGGTACTTATGGTGATCGAAATGTAATTTCTCCTCATTCTGTTACCGCTAATCAACCGTAAAGCTCGTGAGAATAAGGAAAACAATCAATCTTTATTGGTAACATAAGAAACGAGTAACGAAAAGTATGGAGAACATGTGTGTTTATACGTTGGCTGACGTCACGCAACGCTCTTCCGCGAGAAAAGAATGGGGTAACGACCTAAATGACAGCTGCGCAGAGAAGACTTAAGCCCCGTCCACAGGTATCAGTTTTGGTTTGAAAACGGAGATTTTTTTCCGGTTTGGCCTACCTTTCACACGTATTCAGTGAAAACGGTCACCGAAAACACATCTTTTAAAAAAAAACTGGACATTTTAGAAAACTCCGTTTTCCTCTACTCGTGTGGATGGATGAAAACGGAAGTATGTAAAAACGATTACGTTACGGGCTCAGATACCACTAATGCGCATGCTCCCATCAAAGATGGTACCATTTTTAGTAACCATTATGTTTTCGTGTAGACGGGCAAAAAAGATTTAAGTAGAATGTTTGATTCAAAACATTAATTTGTTCTTGAAATACTCAGATTCAGCTTGCGGATGAAAGGTCCACGATAAAAGCCATGCGAAAACGTCAAGAAAAGGACAGAGAAGAAATGGAGAAACTTCAGACTGAACTGAATGTGTAAGTTAATTAAGTGGAATCCAAGTCTCCTTCTCGCAATACTTCCCTCAATGCGTTATTTTAAAATTGAGCGGGAAAATTTTCGCGTGCCCCGCCGCGGTCTGGCGGGGAAAAAATTGTTTGACCCGGCGTGTTATTTACGACTTTTTATTTGTTTTTTTGGCTCTTTCATTATTATAAAGCAGGCCAACAAAGGGGAAAAGAAATATTTGGTCAAGTGCTTCATTATGTGAGGACAAACTTCTTGACATTGTTTTTAAAACGCTGCTCTTGAGAGCCCAAAGTTGGCAACAAATTCAGAGTTCAACTACCCTTTAAAGTCCCGTTCGAACCAGTATGTCGATCGCCTTCTTTCCGTCTTTCTCGGGCTCCTCAATTTTTCTATAAGAGCATTGTTTTCAACTATTCTACGGCAAATGACGTTTTTTGTAAGCAGCGAAGAATTCTCCATCCTCATCAAAAAGGTCTTCAAGATCTTGCCCTTGCGACAAATCGCAACACAACGCCGTAACTTTGAAACACACGCCGTGATGGATTGCCGTTGCTACGGGCAACATTCACTTGAAAACGAGTCCAGTAACAGAAATAAGACGCAAAAAGGAAGCGAACCATTTCTACTCGTATAAATGGAAGAAATTGCGTCTGATTTAGGACGCATTATATTTTTTCTGGTATAAATGGTCCTTTTGTGACTTATTAGTTTTGATAATGTTTATTTTTAAATTCAATAAACTGTTTCTAACCTGATAATAGATGTGTTAATGATAGTGACTTTTTTTCTACGTAGAGCAAACGAAGAAAAAAACAAGTTAAAAACACGCTACGAACAGGCGAAGGAGGAAATAGAAAACTTGGTAAGTAAGCTAAATATTTACCTATGTTACAGGAAATGTGGACAAACCTAGAAACGAGGAGGATGTCTGAGACAAAAATTGTGGAATTAGTTCAACTTAAGGTTTTGAGTTAGAAGTTGTCCCTCCTAGCAGTTGCAGTAAGTTCGAGCCTCTAGAACTTTTTAAAGTTGAAAATGATCAGATGTAGTACGCAACTGACTTCAATGCAGATAAAAGTAACTTTTTAGTCGGTAATTCCAGCGATAGTTGATCCAATGGAGCCTTGGCCGTAGCATTAAACCTCTCGTACCCTAAATTTTCAGCCACTGTGAGGGCAGTGTGCCCTCACTTACCCCTGGGATATTTGGGTGAGTGCCGGACCAAGTTTGCGGCGAAAATCGAGTTTAGTTTCTTTATCTTTTCGTTGTTGTGGATAATCAAGCAGCCATTTATTAAGCTCACGACAAGACTCGACGTGGGGAACAATTTCCCGCTCGTTCAAGTGGTCACCCATTACGTTTTCTCTAAAATAAAAAAAAACAACTCGTTGGCCCTTTCTCGAGGCACCCTGGGACAGGGAGAACCGTGTCCTTCCTAACAACAAATCTTATGCCGTGAGCCCGCCTTCACCGTACCAAGAAATATATGGATAACCAACCGTCACTCACCATTTTTTTCTGTAGGGGTACCTTGTTAACTCCTTATCTTTTTTAAATCTTGCAGAAAGAAAAAATCGAAGTAAATCAGGCAAGGTATGTTTGCTGATGTGTTACACTATCTGAGTTTGGGATTTTCGTGCTGTTTTTTTCTTAACTCTTTGTTTCTGTGAACATATTTGTGCATTACTAGAGAGGTTAAGAATCATGTTCACGGCAAACGCGAATTTGTACCACGTGACCTAGTTTCCTCTTTACTTGTTGTTTACTGTTCATTATTTCTAAAAATAAATTAGTAGTTTCACGTAATTTTAGAATTGTTTTGAGCTGTCTTTATCTGTTCATTTTCTATGTTGAGAAATTCTCAACTTGAATCTGACGTTTGCCGTATACGTGAAGCTTAAACTCTCTAATGAGATTTCACATGTTTCTCTTCATAAAAACAACGTGAAGAGTATGAATTTGTGTTGTTACCATTACAGGATTTCCCAGTTGGAAGACGCCTTGAAGCGTAATCAGTACGAACTGGAAAAAGCTGCCGAAGAACAGCAGGTAATTTAAACATAACAATTAATTCTATGCATGTCACATGGTCACTGATGTGTTTTGGGGACGAGAGAAAATTGGGTACAAGAGTAAATTAAAGGACTCTTCTTATGATACCGAAATGACTTTCATTCTGGAAAGAGTTTATTCCATCTCCACATATTATTCTGTATTTGTTAACATCATGGGGAAACTACATTCTAAATCTAAATCTAAATTGATACTATATAATCTCTCATATGAGATGTACGATACGGGGGTGGTTAGCGGCATTAAACGTAATAAGGACTTGAATTTAAGATCTCAGTGATCTCCAACTGGGACATTCCATATATCAATAACTGAACTAAGGTAGTACTGCGTAATGTCAAAGGTAACGAGCCGTTCCATTCAGGGATCGTGCGAGGGAAAAGGAAGATCGATAACACTTTTTATTAGATTGCAGATGACGGAATGATAAATGAGAGTTCGGAGGGATTGAATTATTTGTGTGTAACCTATTCGGTTTCTTTATCTTTTCCAGTCCGGTCTACAGAAGGTTGATGATCAGCTAGACCGAGTAATTGAGCAGGTCTGTAGGGATTCTGACACACCCCTTCCGGTGAGTATATCAACCCAAATCAGCCAAATAAATGATACCCCACTCTATGCCCTTTAATTTCCATTCCCCATCCCAGGGATTCTGACACCCCTTCTGGTGAGTACGTTGACCGAAATCACCTAAATAAATGTTACCTTACTCTATGCCCTCTTATTTCCATGTCCCATTGTCCACTTACTTGTTCGAAGCCAAAAGAAGAGACGTAATATAAATTTTACAAGAGCTTGTAACGTTTCGAGTGTGTTGTCCAAAGAAACACAGCACAAATTTTCACTTGTTGAGTAAGCTGCGAGACAGTCTTTCTACTGTCCACTACAAAAACGTTAGTCCGGATTCGTCAAAAAAAGAGACCTTTTCATGTTTCCCATTTTGTTGTCTTGGCAGATCAACAACTTATTACTGTTTATTGTTATTTGTAGTCTTTGCTCGCCAATGGAAGCATACGAAACAACTCCCAACACTGGATAGCCGACATGATAGTGAGTATGATTAGTGGTTAATTCGCCGGTAAAGAATCCGATTCGCCTGGGCGAGCGGAGCCCGAAAGCTAAGAAAATTTAGTTATCTATCCATCCAAGAAATTTTGGTAGTCACGTGACCGTACATCTGCCCGACCGCCTGTCCGTCCGCAGCACAGGGAAACCAATGTGAAATGTCACTTTCTACCTTGTTGTGGAACCTACAATCCGCCTGCAACCTGATATTGCACATGCATGTTGTGGTTAATTTACAGCTGTCAAACAGGGTATTCGCTGACCAGTATTACATGACCGTATCGCGGACTCAGGTGTCGACCCATCAAGGTTATGCGTTTTTTTTTAAGTTCTGCGCTGACAAGTTCCTAGTTTTCAACTGATCGCAGGCTAAACTCCAAGTGGATTTCTTGGCAATTCATGGTTATAAGTTTATTGTGTGAAGTAAATTATAAATTCATTAACTGGAGCTTTGCCTTTAGCCTTGGCTAAATCTATTTATTACATTACATGGCATGACATCGGTGTCGTTTTTGGCATCACTTTGACCAAGGAGGGATTCGAAAATAAGTGAACATGGTTAAGTTTTTTGTTCCTTTTTGTAGGGTAAATTTCGTTGGCTTTCTGAAGAGCTGAAGGCTCGCCTCGCGACCGAACGGAGACTCAAAGAACAAGCAGAATGGAGCCACAAGAGAATCAGGGTTTGTAGAAGATCCTTTAAAGTTGGTGCTTTTAACAGTAGACCTCAGGTAGTCGTTCATCAGGCGAGTGAGCGATCGCTGAAACTCCTGGAAAGCGTGGAACGTGTGGAAGCGCACATTTCTTGTGAGAGGATTTTCGCGCTTCTCGCGGGATAGCAAGACATTCTAAAATTTTTGTTCTTTGTTTGCATTGTTAGGATGTCGTACAGAAAGCGGATGAAGATAAGGAATACTTTATATCTGAGCTGGATAAACAGAGCATGTTACTCGATGAACTAGCGGCACAAAAGAAAGGTAATCACGTAAAAGTATGAAAATCACAGATTATCATTAGAATGAGACGGGCCAATTGCCGACCCAGGGGGAGGGTTCAGGGGTTCTTTACCCCCTTAATACTCTCACAGGCGAAATAAACCTACACCCATATCATCATAAATCAATACATCGAAAAAGAGAGATGAAGGCTATCCAGGGGATTTCTCATTCATATTCCCATTTAAATTCAGCTTTTTTTTTCGAAAATTTTCCTGACACTGGCCATGTTATTTTATTCAGGTTTAGAGTCCAAGAACAAACAGAATACGGACAACATCAAGGCTCTTCAGGTAACTTTTTTATTTCCAACGTTTCCTCTCCAACCCAGGGCGTTTACAGGTTTTATCTTTTATTTTTGGTCGTTTTTATTAAGAAAACAGGGCTCTTTAGATAGCTTTTAAAGTGGCTGTCTTAATTCGCGTGAGAATTTTGACATGTTTCCTCTGTGCAATCTGTACGAGTGAAAAGACAATCATAAGTATCACCTTTGCTTATTATTGGTATATTCACCACCATCACCACTGTTATCGCGAATATCTTTCTCGTCAACACCATTACCGTCGCCAATATCATCGCCAATACCATTTCCATTACCGTTATCATCACCATCGATAGTACCATCACAATAACACCACCGTTACCGTCATTGTGACCAAAGCCACCAACGTCATCAATACCATCATCATCGCCGTACGTCACCATTACCAACACCATCACCATTATCACTGCCATCACCAACACTATCAACATGATCATTCCCATCACCATGATCATTACCATCACCAATGCCAATACCATCATCATCACTATATTGCCATCACCATTACCAACACCATCACGATCACCATTGCCATCACCATGATTATTACTTTCACCTTTGCCAATACCATCATCGTCACCATATTGCCATCCTCACCATTACCAACACCATCACCATTATCATTTGTCATCGCCATGATCATTACCAATGCCAATACCATCATCGTCACCATATGCCATCGCCATTACCAACACCATCACTATCACCATTACTATCGCCAATGCCGATACCATCATCGTCACCATATTGCCATCACCATAACCATAACTAACCATCACCATGCCATTGTTGTATCACCACCCTAACCCAACACCGTTATCATTACCAGTACCATCCACCATCACCACCATCCGGCAGGGGTTTCATTACCAATCGACCGACGAAACGCGTTACCGCTACCACCATCATCCGGACTGTTAAAATCTGAATGAAAACAAACCCACCATTTCATTACCATTGTTTGGAGGTTTACCAGAATTTGTTCTCGTTTAAATGTACGTTTGTTCATTAATTCGCTTACCAAATCAACCGTTTCCAATCGCATTTTAGGGCTTTGAAACCATTTCTGAGGGACTATTACCACCACTCGCTTGTTGATCACCACTCATCCAAACCTGCTCATTCAATTCTATCCCCAGTCACTGTCATTATCCCCTTTATCAAGAGATCATCACCGTCAGCACTGTTTCATGAATTTATCATGCGTTTATTTCTTTGTATAACCAGGATAGGATAGCTCAGTTGACCTCGCATCTCGAAACGGTAAGTGCTTTGCCAATACAATCTTTTCTTGTGTACGATACGATCAATTGTCAATGACGGACTAAAATCAAATGCAGTTTATGGTACAATTATGATTGTTTTTCTGACGCTGTTAAAGTACGACATTTTATACGTTATTTTGCATTGAGACGTGTTAGAATCGAAAAAAATGCCAGTGTGATCTATAAATTAGCTAACGTTTTTCTGGTACAAAGTCAAACCTTTTCGTTCTACTACAGTCGAAACTCAATAAGCGACCACCGATCCAAACACCTAGGTTTTCCCAGTCTGTTTTATGGTTAGTCCCCTAAACGACCATCTCTCGTTAGCAACCACCATTACGTTTTGGATGACGATTTTACAATTTTTCACGGTTTTTAACCTCTTGAAAGCGACGAGATTGACGCATGAACTGACCTCTAAGTTTACTGTATGTACTACGCTACTCAGAGTATACAAAGAACTTTTAGTGACAGCGTGTAACTACACATGTAACTTAGATTTTCTACCGAAATTTACATTGGTCGAAACTCCGCTCGGAAGACATCCCCTGTTCTATTCTCTTAAACGACCACTAAATCTTTGCTTTTTGGGTGGTCTCTTACGGGAAGATCGACTGTATAAGAAAATAGTACTTGAATTACGTGATTATGCTTGTTTTTGTAGAGTACACGAGCCTTACACGCCACTGCTGAAGCTCTGGACGACCGACAAAAGGTTCTGGAAGAATTTGAAGGTTTACGGGTAAGAAACTATTATAATATGGAACTTAAAGATTAACTCTGTCATTAGATTGATTTAAAAACCTCAGTGATGTAAGTTGTCAGAGGAGTGGTCCAATATTTCTTTTGTTTTTTTTTTTTCCCGGCGCCTTCATGTTCAATTTTTATCTCGTGATATGGTCGTGTGGTTGTTGTAGACTGAGGAATTTAGCTTCTCGTCATTCGTAGTGTTCTAATCCTGTACAAGTCAGAGTTTCTTCAGGCTTTCTTTGGCAAATGCAAAGTGACGTCCATAACTGCGTTGTTCGTGTTTACTTTTAATTCTTCTTCCCGCAGTTCATATATCAATTCTTTCATTCGCCACTTGCACATCTCCTATAATGCACCTTATTTGCCCCCCTCCCCCCCCAAGAAAAAAAAAAATTTGCAGAACCTTTGTTTTTCATTTTTCCTGGGTATTACAGCCGTCCCAAGAGAAATTGAAAACAATGCTTATGCAAAATGTTTGGGGTTAAATAAGATGCATTATGGGAGATGTGTAAGTGGCGAATTGTATTGCTTCTTTCATTTCAAATTGCTTAGCCACTACGGTTTCAGTGCCTGCAAAAGGTACATACTGATGTTGTAGGGGTAAACTTGTCGTTTGTGATAAACTGTACAAAAAACGTTTTTTTTTTTTTTTTGCCTTGTTTCAGGGGCAACAGAGAGAAAGAGACAAACTTCACGACAAGTATGTCAGGTTAGTATTTTGCTGCGCTTACAGGGAGTCAAGGTAAACAGAGACAATAAAAACAGCAATAGCAATTACAATTCGATGTCAAATGTCCGTTAAATGTGATACCGTCAGATCCCTCGTAATAGTTACACGTAGCATATATAGTTTCCACTGCATTTAAGTCGTTTAGTTAATAGAATACAATGAAAATTCGGTGCTACGATTTAATATGAAATTTTTGTTCGAGTAACGTTGAGTTTGTCGAAATTTAGCGTCCTGCGCCACACACTTGCGCACTTGCTCTGCAATTTTATCAACAACCTGCCTAATCCCCAGGCTCCAATACATCGCGGAAAACAGAACGCAAGGCATTATGGTAAGAGTGCAGACCATCCCTCCGAAAATAATACGCGTGTTACTTTAAGAGCAACAAGGAACGCCTAGAAACGAAACAGAGTAACGACTGTCTGTGTAATATGATGTGGAAAGGTAAAATGTATCTGGCAAAGCTCACGTTTCGTTTTTTTGTTAGATATAAAGAAAGAGTTGGCAGTATTCGCCGAGAATTACAAGGAGCGAAATCAATGGCGGAGGACTACAGGGTGAGAAAAAAAAATGTCGTCTTACTGCCATCATATTAGCATATTGTTGGCATCGCTTGATGCTGTTTTACAAGTTTAAATTACTTGTTAAGACATTCACTGTTTGAAATGATCGACAAAATGTCATCTGATGGATATTTTTTTCTTTGTACAGCAAGAAGGTCTGGACGCCAGCAATTTGTCCACAAGACTATTGGAGGTAACGAAAAACACCACGAGTAGCCCCTCTAATTTCTTAGTCCGCGTGCGAGAAAAAGTATCCACGCCACGCGTGTGTTACGCGTGCCACTCTACTCAGGCCCCGTCCACACGAATCCGGATATTTTTCAAAAGCATATAGCTCACTTCGGTAAAGAGTGATGGCCTGGGACCCAAACTTGGCGCGCGCGCATTTATGGGATTAATTCGGGGGACGCGAATGTAAACAAACATGGCGGAAAGCGAAGTGGAATGTTTCAGGGGAGTTTCTGAAGTTATTTGTACACAAAGGCACACAACAACTGGCACGTCTCGTCATAATACAAGGTGGCTGCTCGACGTGTTCCCCCAAACAATCCCATAACTGCAGCGCGCTTAGTTTGGGTCCCAGGCTATCACTCTTTTCCGAAGTGAGATATTGTTTTACAAGGTTCAGCCTTTCGTCCACACAAAACCAGTGAATCCGCTGAGCGAACCCGCCTGTTTTTGAAGCCCCTCTACAGAGTCCACACGAATCCGGGTAAAACAATATGCAGTTTCAAACATTTCCGAATTTGTGGGGACGGGGTTCCAGATTTGAGGAAAAGATAAGGGACTGCACGCAGTCTCGGGGAAAAAAAACTCTGTTTTAACCGAAGTATGTCGATTTGGTGGTTTTTTTTTTTTGGTGTTTATGTTTTTGTTTTGTTTTTGTTTTTGTTTTTTGCGATTTTTTCCATTGGTGCTCGAGATTCAGTTTGATTTGTATGTTGTCTTTTTAGAGTCTAGACCGCATCTCCAGTCCAAAAGCCAAACAACGAAGACTTCATCAGTTTCCAGACACGCCACCAACTAATTTAAGGCAAGTGCTTAGACTAAATCGCATAATTATCCCGTTATATGTTACAAATAGCCTACATTCGATATATTAAAATTCTAACATAGCTCCGAGGCGTTAGGGTCTAAATTGCAAATTTTCACGACTCCATTGTCTCACCATTCCCAGAAGAGACTTGAGCACAAAGAAAACCAAACCAAATATAGAAAAATGACCAGAAAGCTTCTTCCGTGAGTGCATCATTTTACCCTATTCCTTGCAAGGGGCGATAAAACTCATTGCCCAATTTCCCTAAGACGATGGATGAATGCCACTTAGGATCATTTTGGTGGTAGTTGTTTATCATCTCATTCAACAAATAACAACTTTTTTACTTTTAATATATTTGTAGGCAAAATGATTTTAGTTTTCATACTTCATGGTCAATAAATACCACAATGGGTTTTTCAATGGAATATGGTGTTCATATTTCAAAACAAAGTGCAAATAAGATTTATAAAGTTCTTTTGACACATTCTTTTGAAATGGTGCTTTTTCTTCCCTTTTTTCTCTCTCCCCACACAGTGACTGTATCATATCTTTCTCTCATTTGCAGACCACCGACAAGTAAGACTATGCCTGTTACAGAATGGTCTCCGTCATCGGATAACACTTTATCAACCGTCTCGGAAAGTTAGTTTTTGTGTTGTTTCGCTTTTTGTGTTTACGTGCGTGTGTTTACTAGACCTTATACATGGTCACAGTATCCTTGAACCTTGGGCTCTCAACTGGCCGGCTGGAGAGGACGGGATACAAAGCGAAGGCTCCTCTCCGTTAACTTGCCGAAGTGTTTTGTGGTCGAAAATGTGATCGTTCGTGTAGTTGCGCGAGGATGCGCAGCTCACATACCAAGTTACGAGCTTGGGTGTGTTGTGGGCTTATCCTATCATAGAACACAATCCGCGATAAAACTGAAAAGCGTTATACTAAGTCAGTGTTTTTCTTTAACGGAAAATTACTTATTTGTGGCTAAATCTGCAGGCTCTTATTACTCGTGGTTCTTTCGATCCGTAGTTTCGACTGGGCAACTTTTTCTTTTTCGATGTCTCAACACTCGTAACATTTAAGCTTTCTTTGGTAACTTTCGCTCAACTGTTTGTCAGCTCTCTGGGAAGGGATTACCTTACAAATCGTGGTCACACCCATACATGAATGCCCCATGAACAGACGCATTTTTTCTTCTAAAGCATGAGGACATTTGCGGATGACCAGTAAAAACTTATTTTTGGTGTATTCAACTGAATTGAAGAGGGGGTGTCACCGTGTTCGGCTACTTTGGTCGATAAAATTTTGTCTTGTGTCTCACTCACATCTGGCAATCTGATGAGGGTCTACTTTGCTTAATCCATAATTCAAAACAGGTGACTACCAATCGTACTGAACTGAATTTTTACGATATTTTTCGTCTTATCTTTAGATCCTTCGCCCTTAATTTCACCGTTTAAAACAGATAGAAAACGAAGCTACAAGCTTAAGGATTACCATGGCAAAGATCCCATTGCTAGTACTGACTTGGACTATAAAGAAAGGTAACGACAAATGGTATGTATCCTTGACAGTTGATGACTCATGAGAGCGGTAGGAATCCAGTGCTAGGACGATCAATTAATTACGTGTTATAGAACACTAAGCAGAAATATGGGGATAACAATCTATGAAAAGACAACCACCTGTTCGCTGTTTGATGCTTCTCTTTGCCTGCCCCTGACCTCTTTCGCGCTCTCTCGCCATCTCTTCGCTCTGTCCCTTCAGGCCTCTTTCGCCCATTCTGGCCTTGTCTTCTTCCTTGCCCATAGTGCAGGCGTATTTTTCCTCCGACCGGAGATCTTTCGGTAACTCCCTCGCTCTACTGGCGCTGAAGAAAATCAGAGACTGTGGTACGGGATTTCTCGCTGCTTAAGATATCCTCAGTTTCCCGAAAACTTCTCAAGTTATAGTCAACTTTAAGCCGTAACAGTACAAAGTAATACCCATAGGCTTAGCCTGCCTGTGAATAGGCTTCCAGAGGAACGTCGTGAGGGAACCGGGAGCCTCTTCTCCTCCCCTGTCCTCTGCCCCTGCTTGCACTCTTCAGCGTTCTCTTCATCTCTTCCCCACAAGAGAGCCTGCATGTTCAGAGGCTACCCATACCGTGGGCATCATATCTAAATTGGATGAGGACTCTATTCTGACCCTGACGTTGACCAGACTTTGCACAGAGTACGGTTGAAATTTTTGTCAGCGAAGAGACAAAATGGGAGAGAACTACTTTTAAACTCTCCAAAGTGTGGGTTTCATCCCGTTACTTCGAGAACGGAAGGGATTTATCGGGTGAGTCCTTAGTTCTTTTGTATTTTCTGTTTGTCAGTATATATATTTATATGTTATATTTTCAATTTTCCCTAGGTGAAAAAAAAAGCCGCGATGGGCGTAATGCAGGCTCCAAGCGTGATGATATCACCTACACATCCCGACACACTCGTCAAATCCCGTTCCTAGGTCCCTCCCCTACTCAACCTTTCGAGGGACGAGTCGGACAGGACCCTGGGAACTAGATTGCACACTCGCCTTGTATTTAAGGAAACGAAGTTATAAATAGTCGATTGTATGATACAAACAAGATGTACGTGCTTTTATTTAACTCTCTTTTAATCGTTGACTCTGTAAACCTGGAGAAAACATAGATCTCCTCGGAAGAAATATGGGATTAATATATAATGAGTTACACAGTACTGAATTGTGGTGATTGTTTTTATTGCAACTGTTGATTGATGGCACATGAATAAATCACTGTGACACACTTTTATCAGCTAATTTATCAGCTATCGAATGAAGTGATTTTTTTTCGCCCCCTTTTTTGTGTGTTTCTCCCTTTTTTGGCTTATAAACTTGGCGCGACGGCAATGTTACGCTTACGCAATTGGTTTATTTACTAGACCGGAAATAAAAAGCTGACGGGATGTTAAATTTTGTGCTCATGCGCAATGCGTTTTGCCGCGGTGTTAGCATCACATATCAAAATGGTTAGACGGAAGTAAATTTTTAAGAGTGAGGACTAGAATGTACTGCCCAAACCCTCTCGGCCAACCTCTCCGGCACGATGTTCGATGTGATTGAACGACTTGCTCTAGTCCGTAAAAATTCGAAGATGAAAAGAAACCCAAATCGAAATCTTTGTAAATGGTTTTAGTGACCCTCTCATCACTCTGAAACATCCTGGTGCACTTTTGCAATAAACAAACACGTAGCAAATTTCAGATTTTGACCCAAACTCATTGGTGAACTCGTTTTGAAAAATCCAAGATGGCCGCCAGCTGAAATCAGAATATGATAAATAATTTATAGGTGTATTGTCACGGGCTCAAAATGTCACCAAACACCATTTTCTTGCATTGTTTTGACAATACACAAAGTAAACATTTAAAATTTTGCTTTGTCGAGCACTTGAATTGTTAAAGAATGTGGCGCTTAGTTATCTCACTGAAACCTTTATTGACAGGGCTCGCACAGTCTTGAAAAGCCCTTGAATTTAAGGGGAAGTCCTTGAAAAGCCCTTGAATTTAAGGGGAAGTCCTTGAAAAGCCCTTGACTTTAAGGGGAAGTCCTTGAAAAGCCCTTGAATCTAAGGGCAAGTCCTGGAAAAGCCCTTGAATCTAAGGGGAAGTCCTTGAAAAGCCCTTGAATTTAAGAGGAAGTCCTTGAAAAGCCCTTGAATTTAAGGGGAAGTCCTTGAAAAGTCCTTGAATTTTCTTCAATTTTGAATGTAGTGGCCTGGAAAGAATTTTTTTATGCTTTTTGGTTGTCCAAGACAGAATATAAAACATAGCTCAGAGAATTTAAAAGTTATTTACATAAAGTGCTCTATGTTTCATGCAATAATTAACTATCAATTTAAGACCAGTGAACTGAAAAATGTAGAGAATCTGGTGAAGCAAACAGTTCAAGCCTTAAACTCTTATTACAATAGACTGGGAATGTGCATTTTTGTACAATGTGTGAAATTATATTCATAGTAATGTGGTCCTTGAAAAATGGTTGCAATTTTTTGTATGAACCCTGATTGAACTGTAAAACTAATTACTACTTACCGAATCATATTAGAAATAGATATCATGCGATTACTTCGGTGGTATTGCCTTACATGGCTGGTTGCTAAATATAACCTTCAAATACCACAGACCCAAAATCATGCCCCTATTAAAAGAACAAGATGGCCTCGAGCCAAAATCAAAAGTCTTGATAACCGTGTCGCTACTCTAAAACTTATAACATCATTTCTTGGTCAATTTAGACTTGATTCAGACGAAAAGTAAAAAGAAATACAAGTCTAACCCACAATCAAAGGCTATCTCGATTTAACTGAAACATCTAAAATATTGAAATTAATAAAGCAAAAAAAAAAAAGACTTAATTAATATTTTCTGGTTAGTGTTTTGGTTTGTCTTGGCCAATTTACTTGTTGATTGGTTGTCCGAAGTGTTCTAGTGTGTTTTGGAATGCTCTGTGGTGTCTATGATCGTCTAAGGCCCCGTCCATACGTATCCGGATACTTTTGAAAACGGATATTATTTTCCCGTTTTCAAAAAAATACCCATTCACACGTAGCGTATTCGAATCGTTTTCGCCCGTCCACATGAAAACGCTATTAAAAGAGATGGAAATACGATAGCATCCCTTATTGAGAAATGTGTCATGCTGGAAGTATATGATGTATTATATCGTATTAGATAACCTCCGTTTTCGTCCGTCCACTTAAACACAAAAAGCCGGCGTTTTCAAAATCTCCACTCTGGAGAGCGTTTTTGAAAAGGTGCTGTTTCGTTGACTGTTTTCATCGGGGACGTGTAGACAATAGGCCAAACCGGAGAAAAAAAATCCGGTTTCAAACAAAAACGGATATGTGTGGACGGGGTCTAACTGTTTTTGTGGATCAATTTAGGTTTCCGGGAAACTGCCCACCTACCCCTCCCCTAAGCCATCATTTTGCCCTAAGTGAGAAGTAAGTGTTAGTGTTAGCTTAAGGAAGGGGTAGGTGGGCAGTTTCCCAGAAACCTAAATTGTTTTGAGGTTCTTTACCAATTTTGCAAATTACTTTCGCAATCTTTCATAAACTTAGAATCTCGATGTAATTCTGTCATGAGCCATGGAAATATTGAAGGATGGTTTTCTCCAAAGAACTCACTTTCAAATTAGGCCCAGTGCAAAACCTTTCTTGGTAACAATGCGCGTAAAAACTAGGCTACTGTGTATTATGTGCCTTCGCAACTTCCCTAAATAGAATTGCCTCAGTTTTCAAAACTGATGTCAGAAATAAAATTTGCAAAAATTCAAAATTTCTTTTGCACCATGAGAATTTGTTTTCAGAACTCGTGGTTCTTCACCCCCAGTTAAAAGTAACCCGTACATCTCTGAGAAGGGGTTTCCGCATGGTTTCTTCTGCAACCTTTTGCACCTCATCCCAGCAGTTAACACGGGCGTACAGGTTGTTGATTGGGCTGGCAGGATCAATGATATATGCCTTCTTCAGAAGACTGAAATGCCAAAAAAGAAAATATACCATGAATAAAATTCTATAGTGAAAGAAAGTTTGCGCAATTGCTATATTTTTAAAATCAACAACGTGTTACGAATGTCTTGCCATGAGAGCCATTACTTGTATATAAAGTAAAAGGATTATGAAAATACATGTAAGACCCAATGCATGAGAGGGAGGGGAAAGTAAAGGGAGGTTTGTAGAAATTTTATGCCGGTTTAACGACATCCGAGACGCCTATGTCGTCGAGAATGTAAAAAGCGGCTCTCTTATTCCTATAGTAGTAAAAACAATTTTAAACTCTCCGTGAATCTACCTGTTTGGAATCAAATCCCTTCTGTAGTAATCTTCCCAAGAAACACGAAGACTTTCGTGATTCTTTAGAACCTCCATAACAGCTTTAAAACCAATCTTCATGTCAAAGCTCTCTGGAGGATTCAGAGGATTTGCATTTTCCCAAGCCTGTATTGTGAGAAGCTCCAGCAGATAGGAGGGCGGGACATGCTTACTACCACTCTGTGGAATATACGTCTTGCGCCAGTACTTCACCATTCGAATCAGGTCTTTTACGCTTGCGGGCCGTTTTTTGACGAAGTCCCTTTGTATCTTCACAAGCGCAGCAGAGTAGTAAGGCCAGTTCTCTTTAGTATCGCTAAGCATTTC